ACTGTGTCAATTGGATCCTTAGTTTGGGTTTGACCTCACTTTCGTTATGAATTACATCTACACGATTGTATGAATCAGCTGGCAATCCCAAGTCGCACGCGACCGGTTCCGTGCACATGACATACATATTAAATACTACGAAAAGATATAGGCAGTCGCTTATACTACAAGTAACGCTAACTACAAACGATAATTCGCCAACGTTTAACTATAGCCCTAAGTTTATTCGAAATTAAAAATAGAATTAGGCACGAAACTCCTTTTTAGTCTGGAAGTGAATAAATAGGCAGCAATGTCATAAGTAATCATAAATTAAATATATTTACGAACAAAATTATATATTTAAAATATTGTAATATATTTATTTTATCAGCTCATCGTCGACAAATAATTGTGTGTTGAGAACTTGGTCATTGGTTTTGTCTGAGAGTAGTTTATTTATAATATGTGCACATTTAGTAAAATCTAAGTAAATTGAAAAGAAAGTGATAAGTCTCTCCAGTTATTATCATAGATTTTTTCTTTCTTGTTTAGATTTAACTCAAACGGTTGTTATGGAGATTTACATATGGATATCAATCTTAAGCGGGTAATTTAAATATGATAGATAATTTATAATAATAGATAAAATCCTACACATCTCACACACGGCCGTCTGATCCAAAACTAGACAGATTCTGTACCATGGTAACCAGACTGCTGATAATTATACTTTTATAAAATGATCGTGCTCTGAGCATGAGCACACAATTATTTGTCCTAGGTGGGAATCCAACCGTGGTCGTGCCTCTGACTTACTCGTAGCTGTCAGGATCACTAACCACTAGACCAACAGACCAGTCAATAGTAGTGCATACAGTACAGTGTCACCGGTTCAAATGTTAATTACCTAAGTACTTCGTTATACATATAACGTACTACTCAGTACGCAGGGTACGCACAAATCTTTCTAAGTTCAACACTAGCTATAATCCCTTCTAATGTATTCGTACTTGTACGTCACGGAACACGAAAGTTTAAAAGTTGTCACATTTCTGACCAAATATTGACACCAAGTTGGATTGCTACATACTTTGAATAGTAATGAGCGAACGAAAATAATTCCAAGAAGGCAATTTATTTTGCTCGTTAAATTATAATGAACAAGTTTATTAACTATGAGTGGAATATTAAATAAATTTAGAGGAAAGACTGTTTCATAGGAAGAGAATAAAAAAAAACACCGTCCGTCATAATAAAGCCAAAACAGAAGTTGTAGCTTTCGACTAGGCTAGACTTCACAGGAATATTTTTTAGAGTACACCTGAGGCCCCAGGAATAAGTCCTAGTGTGAGTTCATTTCACATCTTTACGGTGACCGCGTTAGTCGTTGTGATTGGTGAAGTACGAGCCGTTCGCAACCCCTCTACCATTCCGCTATATGGCAGGTACTGGGTCAATTTACAATCGTAATGTAACGTTTGTAAATTCAAGTTTTATCTATCCTCAAAAATTAAATAATGCTATATGGAATCTAATGATATGTATTATACCCGAGACGGCGTGCGGTTTTAGTCGGTTCGAGTCCGACATGCCATCGATTGTACATATGTGTTTTTTTAAAGAACAGCTTATCAGATTTTGAAGATTGATAAACAACGTATAAACCTAAAATTGAATTCTCCGTGTGGTGACGGACTAAGAATACGGAATGTCACCACCCCTATTCATCCCGTGAGTGCCGTAAGAGCCGACTAAGGGAGCAAATTACGCAGGACAACAGCACTGCAAAGAGAAGGAAAACTTGAAAGAAACTCTGTACCAACCCGTCTGGCAAGCGTGGTATAGTAGGCCAAAACCTCCTTTCTAAGGAGATGCCTATATCCAGCAGTGGACTGTTATAGGCTGTTGATGATGATGAAACTTAAAAAACCGCTACAAAAATGAAAATAATCCTAGTGTAAAATGTAAATGCTCCAAACTTTATAAATTCATTTCTAAAAACTGTAATCAGTGTGTCATACAACCACCAATCCAAGTGAAAAGTAAACAAGTTACGAACAGGATCATTTCTAAAACAATGTCAATGGAAATATCCACCCAATGCCAGTAAAGGACTTTTGCGTGCAAAGGAGGCTAGCGTGAGTTTTTTGTGTGACAGAAATAACACTCCTAATGTTTTTCACTATTGCTCTAGTATAATTCGCAATTGATTTTCGTCTCACTAATTTTTTTTTAATTTTTCCTAAATGCTTATCGTTTTTTGTGGTAAAACATCCGTTCAATTACGTAAGGAAATGTACTGATAACTTTACATATATATAACATACGAAAATATACGTACTTTCCGAAATCATTGCTTAAATACCTAAAAAATATATTTTTACTTGATGTTTATACACATTAAGTAATAAGCCTTTGAATGCTTACGTTACTATTGATGGAGAATCTACCTGTGAGGGACGGATGTCATGTCCCTCCAACGTAAAGGGAGGATCTGCCGACCAGGCAAGGTGATCATACCTGACATGCCGCGGTCCAACGGTCGATGTTGGGCAGTTCAATCTAAAATCAGAACAAAATAAAAAAAAATGGACATATGCTAGTCCGACAAGCGCGCGCGAGAATTTTGTACCTACGTGGGGCATACTGAAAGTCTCTGGATCTGGCCACTTACAATAAAATAATAAAAAACCAATTACGTAATTCGAAAATGGAACTCTTCGGGAACATGTTACTTTTTAATTGGCATTTGATGATTCGTGATTGTATTCGTGGTTTGGCAAATTTAAACGTGGACGTGATCATTTCCATGACGAGGTACGTAAACCTAACCTTACAGACTCTAATATTGACACTGTACGACAACTTATAGAAACTGACAAAAAAATTACTTGCCAGCAAATTTATGCTTTGGTAGGCATTGGAATGTGCGAAGTGCAAAAGATTTTACATGTGCATCTGAAGGTTCGGAAGCTTTGCACTCGATGGATACGTATGTAATACGTTTGTGTGTACGTTTTCTGTAATAATACAGTGGCTTCATCGAATGCAAAAATGCATGAATTAGGAGTCAATATACTTTGAAAAACAATAAAAGTATTGTAAGTTTCATAACTAGTTTTATTTATCAGAAGTCAGAAACTTTCAGCATGCCCTAAGTACTTGCTTAAGTTTGTTCGTCATAGATCCTAGAAGATTTAGCATTCCGGCATACTGTTTTGGGTTTTAAAAAATGGAGAAGAGGACTCAATGATAAAATATCTTTTCTTTGCGCCATAACAAAAAAAATAACAGCTTTCGGGTATTTTTACTGTGAGACCTTACTTCTTACCAATTTTCACGATTCTAGGTCAATGTAAAACACTGAGTTTGATTTACCTGTAAAGTGTTAAAATTTATCAAAATATGAGGCTCAAATAAGCCGTGCCTTTAGCATGAATTTACTAAAAAGTTATATTTTAACTGCAAGTATTTGGTGTTAATTTTAAATCATGCCTACTCACGATCCTGAGACTAAGGGACGGACAGACACCAAAAGTCCACACAATTCAAAATATTTTGTTGACAAAATCAGATTCTAAAATTAACTCGGACAAAAATATCTAACTGAAGTAAAAAAAAGGTATGTGTAAAGACAATAGCAAAAGGCGGTCTCTGCAGTAGCTGTGAAATTCGTATGTTCGTTTGTTTGTATGACACAATAATACCATGTTTTTCACTATTTATTACTCGAATTCAGTTTGCGATAAAATTCTGCTTTACTAAGGTAATTTCAATTTCCCCTATATGCTTATCTTTTTTGTGGTAAAACATCCTGTGAATTACGTAAGAAAATGTACTGATAACCTATATTTCGCGAACATACTATTAAAATTCATTATTTCTGTACCTAAAAAACAAAGAATACCTCTTTTCATATCTTTTCAGTTGATATTTATACTATTTTTAGGTAGCAACTTCACCAAAGCCAGGTTACTATTGTATACTTTCCGCCATCGTTCCACACGGCAAAATTTTCATCCCCATCACCTGGATTTTTTCGAGACACTTTTTGCCTTACTCAACCACTCTGTGGAACGGGTTATCGTCGGCGGTATTTCTGGACCGATACGACCGTCAAACCTTCAAGAAAAGAGCGTACTCCTTCTTTAAAGGCTGGCAACGCGCTTGTTACTCCTGAGTTGCAGGCGTTCATGGGCGGCGATGGTCACTTTCCATCAGGTGACCCGTCTGCTCGGCTGCCTCAGCTAGCTATATATATATATATATATATTGTGCAGAGATTACAAAATACAAAATAACTAAACACATAATCGTTACAATGGGCTCCTAACGTATGGAAAAATTTACTTACATACACAATACACCATAATTTAAGACTAACATAGTGAGTCCCAAACATCCCTATTTCATATTAAATATTGGACAAGTGCGAATTTTGCTAGTACACTGACAGTTTGGTACATACTTGTATTTAAATAATTAATCAGTCTCGGGAACAGATTCTGAAATATTTACTTTTCAGAAAGACAAATGATCTTGTCTGTAATAAAGTACTTTATTTCGATGTAGGTACTCGTACGTCACAGTCAGTTTACCCATCGGATAATTTTAGTTCAGAAAAATAACTAAGAGATATAACAACGGCTCTCTGGGCTTTTTTTTTAACGTGAGACCTGACTTCCAATTTCAATGGTTCTAGGTCAATGAGAAGTACACTAAAAGCTTTGATTTATCTGCAAAATTGAATAAACTGTAAGGCTAACAAAGGCCGTGTGCTTTAAATTTAAAGGACAACCCAACTGCATTGACTTAGATGTTTCATTGTTTTGCAGCTTTAAAGGACCGCAGAAAGGTCATTTGAATAACTTTTAAATTACTGCAACGCATTTCTGTAAACATAGATTTTAATTAACAGACAGATAGCCAAGGATACAAAGACAAAAGTTTATGTATACTTTACTTTAAATGTTCTTTTGACATAACAGTTTCTGATATGTAAACAATTTGTTTTGCAGATGCCAGTGGCAATATCCTGGGTGCAAGCGAGTGGAACACGGGCTACCCTTCAACAACCTCTATGTACCCTAGCTACGGGTCACTACAGCCGCCGTATTACAAGCCTGAACCTACTATACATTTAGCTCCAGGTAAACATCTTATTTCACTAATTTCATAAATGAGTGAGTTTATTTAGAAGGCGATCTGGCGAGTATTGTTTACACCTTTTCAATGTGCAGAAAAGGAAACAGGTTACCTTTCTTTCATCCAAAAAAATAAGAAAAAGGATATTAATTTTAAAAAAAATATACCTATATTCCTGAGCCAAAAGAAATAAATTTAAATGTATTTCATTTTCGGTATTTCTTTTTACTTTCCGTGGTATCGCAACATATATTTCACATGGTAGATTTCCGCCATTAAAATTAAAACATTTATATTTTATATTATAAAGTTCGATAAGCAAACCTCCTCCATTCATAACCACGTTAATGGAGCGGTTGACCACACGATAGGAACTGTATAGCACATAACTACCTACAATACCTATTATAATAAATGTCAATCTATAGTACTGAATGTTAAATCACATCAACAAACACGTGGTTCGATTAACATATTTACTATAAAGATACTTGATATAATATCTTTAAAAAAAAGCGATAGTATGCTTTTTTTCAATGCGCCTAGCCTAAATCATAAATTGTAACACGGTATTCCTTATCTCTCAATTATTCAACCCTGGAGTTGTTTATGTTAATGGATAATCTATTTTTACAAAAATATTGCTTTGCCGATGCAGAGAAACTACTCCTTAAGGGAATTTCCCAATATTTTAAATTAGCATTGTTGTGAGCGTACATAAATTTCTAAATTATACAGATATATTATTAAATAGTTCTGATGCGCATTTGTAGTCTTCATCATTGGATTTAATTTACCAAATGATGTTTTTGATGAGAGCAAATGTACGATTAGTCCATTAAAAATAACCAAATTAGAAAGGTTGCCTATAATATTTGTATCGTGCCTTTGATTCTCTAAGATTTCTAAGTAACTAGAAAGTATGCCTTTTTAAACAAAAGAAGAATATTCTAAATCGCTCCAATCGGTAAAATAAGTACAGCTTCATTACAGTGTATACATTCGTTACAATAAAATATCCTAATAAGTAAATTATAAATTACATGTCATATTTATTTCAAATTTTTGGAAACTTGTCTGTTTCTCAATTCGTATGTACCAAAGGTACAACAAGACACTACAGTCTTACAAAATAATGTATACAGCTATTGTTTAATAATGACGAAAACAAATGCGATAAGTCGCACAAACGTGCATCACTGTTTCCTGTATTAGCGACCAGTGTGCCAAAGATGACGCGCATCTGACAGTTTAATTTATTATGTATTTTAATATTGAATACAATCCGCAATATTGACATCAAATTTGTAAATTAACTAACGCTTATGGTGTTGGCAATCTGATAGAAATGATTGAAAATACAAAATAACATGAGTAATCAGTGGTACTTAATCATTGTAAAGAATTACATTGTGACTTAACATATGTTACAGTACGTTATAGGACCTGAATACCTGATAGGTAAATTTTTATCTCCAGCAAACTGGTTATTATATAGTATATCACATTTGATTACTACGAAAATATATTACACAAATCAGGGTCCTTTTAAATCAGCAGTACATACTTAATGTGGCTTGTGAGATTCCCTGGAATCAAATAACAGGACATCTACTTGAGTACAAAAACATCAAGAAGTTGTTAGTGTATTAATTAAGTACCACTCAGTTTATAACACGGAAAATTTAATTCAATTGTAAGGAAGTTTAGGTATTACATTATATTAGTAATAGACAATACAACGCATTATTACTTTAACAACAATTAAGTTTACGGGACGCCCGCGTTGTGTGTCCTGTTAATTTCTGAGCAACAGCAATGAGCAAAAAAAAGTCTTTGTGTAATCTTTTAACCAATAAATTGGATGAAGGTAGAAAATAAACCGTTTTACCGAACGACCAATCCCAAAAATATATAAATTCAAAATTTCATAAAAAGTATATACACGGCTCTGTAAATTATGCGGCCCTGTCTTATCATTTTATCTTGCTACAGACATTTTATTTTTTGTTACGAACTATCTAATTAAATCAACAAATTCAGAAGATTGTTTTTTGTTTGTGTTCGCGTTGCCATTGACGTTTTCACAACCGAAATATTATATTGATCATCATGACATTTTACACTCTCGTTACTAAAACCATTTCTGTGCCCCTAACGAGGTGATAAAAACGTTCAGAAACAAACAAATAACAGAAATAAAGCACGGTTCCTGTTACACATGAGTATAAGAGGAAAAAACCCACTAATTAGTTGAAAGCGACTTATTAGTCCTTAGAATGATGATAATGATAAACAGGAACTTTAATTACATAAATATTTTTCTCTTTTGCAGTTCCATTGCCAGAACTTCCTCTAAGTCACACAGACTACGGCGGCTACCAACCGAGTACAACTAGCTTCATGAAAGGCAGTCCTAGTGGCACCGGCTCTTCCTTGACGGAGCTCAATGTACCAACAGCTATGCCAAGCCAGCGTTGCGACCCTAACTATTACAACTGGTCAACTAACACATATAATTATAACAATTATCAATATAATAATATTAATAATAATCCCGCTTGCCTGCAGTCCCATCCGCCATACATCAATACGAACCCACAAATGATACTCCCGAATTTATACTCAACAGTTAATCAGAATCAGATTCATGTTCACCTTCACAGCAGCTCAGGAGACAAACACAATCTAGATGCCCCTTGTTTCCCGGGTGAAATCAAAATAAGTGATATAGATGGTGGTATCTCAATTACCACAGAATTACAATCGCCAGAAACCGGCGGTCTAGTTCAAACTTGTGAAACGAATGATGAAGTCAAACATGGACTCTATGGCGCAAGCAACCAAGAAGTTTGGAGACCCTATTGACATTTCATTCTACCCTACGTAGGTCACTATATAATTTTTGAGACACGCAAAAAGTAAACAAAATATACCTACTTACAATTTATTTTGTATTTTTGCAAAATACTCTCCATCACTCTATACAAATTTCCATCCGCCTAATACCAGTCTTGGTAACACTTATTCTAGTCTTCATCCAACAGGTCGAAAATGGCTGATTCGTAGGCAGCCAAAGCTTCTTCGGCACTTTAAAAACTTAGGTGGGGTAGGGTTTTTATACCCGATTCTTAAATAAACGCCTTTTGTTTTGTGGGAAGAGTGTGAAGACGCATTGTCGTGGTGCAGCATTATTGCCCGTAGTCCGATCTTTGGTCGTCTCTTCTTCACAGCTTTAAAAACTTTCGGCAATGTGACTGTAGTATACCATTCTGTGTTAACAAACTTACAATTCTCTAGCATTGATGTTGCACGATGTCTCCACTCCGTGAAAAAAAAAATAGGCTACCATTTTTATACATATGTCCCGTGGTCCTTGCAATATTGTTGGCAACTGGCCATCTGGAAACACAAATACCGAGAACGGCTTCTTGTTTCGTCGCCAGTGATGATTAAAGAAACACGTTTTAACCTCCCATTTTCAAACGCCACATCTAACGGCACTATTCTTCACGGGCTTCTTTTTCCGTTTCGGAGAGTAAACGAGGTATCCAACGGCAATAAAGCTTCCTCATTCTAAGATGTTCATGTAATATGGTGTAACACTAATCGAACTGATGCCTAAAATTTTCTTATATGTAATCGGGTGTGTGTGAATCTCGAACAAGCATTTCAATAATCCACACATTTTCAGCAGTGACTGCTGTTGGCGGGCGTTCACTTCACGTTTTCAAATTTCGAGCATCTCAAAACTTATATAGTGACCTATAATAAAAAACAAAAGTACTAAATAAAATCAAAAACATTCCATTGTACATATTGTGATATAATCTATTTTATGATTTCATGATAAAGTATAGATATAATAACTTAATTAATGTTAAACATTAATTAGATGTTACTTGTTAAGTTTATTCATTAAGTAATAAAATATTGAATTAAAATATTTTCGTTTCATTATAACGACAGAACTACCTGGTTAATGGCTAATTGTTACGCTTATACTTAAGTATATCGAGTTGTCAGTTTTAAACATAATGTGATCAAGAAAAAAGTCAGATATCCTAAACTTTGAGAACGTGTCGATATTTCATAAATATCCTAGTATATATATATATATAATATAACCCTAGTCAATCATAGTTTCCTTATACTCGTAAATATTTATTATGTGACTGTACCGAAACAATCAAAATATGGACATGAAATTCCTAGAAGGATTTTTGTTGCTATTTTCCTGACTACTTATTTATGTAAAGTGTAATAATAACTAACAAAATATTTGTTATTTTGAGGTGAAACATTTTGAATACAACTTTATGAAAAGAAATACGTACATTCAGAAAAATAACTTAAATTAAATGTTTTCGAGCTGCAAATGTGAAAGTATTGTTATCTGTATATGTATTAGTATCCAGTCTACTCAATTTTTTTTTATCATTCCATCATTATTTTCGTGCTCTTTTCGCACTTTAATTTAGTGGTAACGCAATGTTTAACATTATAAATGGTTTATAAATACTTAACGCCGTTACAAGTTAGAAATCAAACTCCTGTTAAAAACTAAACTGCAATTAGCTGAACTTAGATTTTTCATATATATAGGCACAAAAATCAACTGAGTCAAGGTTATGTATTGCAACTGCAGAACTGGCAACCTGATACCTGACTTCGACGGGAACATTTAAACTTATATAAAATAATGTCAATAAAGGTATAGTAGGGTATCATCCTTTTATATATATATTTTATAAACAATTAAAAGTTAAATAACGAAATTTTAACTTGGTGTACCTACCTACCCACACCGGCACAGGTCGATCCGTCTGTGGATAGGGCGCCTTCAACTGCCACTTGAAAGCGTCTGTCCAGCAGCGAGGAACAATCTTTACTACTCGACGGGGAGTAGTAGATGTGGACAGCTTGTACAGCAGGTCCGGCGTGCCAGAAGCGGTCGAACGCCTTCTCCATGTTGAGGAAGACAATATTCATAAAATCACCGGCCCACATAAATTGTTGTTTGTTCCTATAAAATAATTAACAATTCGTCATTTTCAGTATTAAAACTCAACCCCATTCAACATAAAACTGCATTTCTCAGGCGACAAAATCTCTTTCTTGCATCGTATTTGTACAATAAGTTGAACACAATATTTAATATTTTCTCCAAAACGACACATGCCCGCCCACACACACACACACACACACATTCAAACGCACCACAAAACATCGACTAACTTAACCACGCGGGTGTGAATCCTGGAGTCCTGAAATACAGGTATTGACCTAGTTTAGGCTCCAGTCCACCCCAACTACAAATTTATTTTACACTAATTTTTATAAATCACTGTACATTGTGTCGTTTGTGGTAGGAATAAACATTTTTTTTTGTTTTGACAGAATATTATTAATAAGGAAAAAAAAATACAATCTCGCACCCCTATTTAAAAGTAGTTAAAAATTAGTAACCTCGTTTTTCGTTGTCCGTGTGGTGACGGATGAAGAATACGGAATGTCACCACCCCTATTTATCCCGTGGGTGTCGTAAGAGCCGAATAATGTCGCTATCATCACTGCTAAAACCTTCCATTATTTTATATTTAATATGAAGTTATTTACTATCGAAATTCTATCTGCCCGCGTAACTGGCCGATGTTGACAGATAAACAAAAACGTTACTAATAGTTAGCTGCCCCTACCGGAGAGTAACTCGAAACTTATATTGAAATACAAGTTATTCAGATTACTATGCGAGTTCCTATCTCTAGTTGACTATCCGTCCTCCCAAAGGTAGATAGATAACTCCGATAGGAAATGCTATCTGCCGGTAGGTTATTGAAACGTAAGTTAGGGTAAAAGGATAGATTTGTTTAACTGTAGTAATGAGAACTAAGGATAGATAGGTTATTGAAAACGGCCGTAAGGGAGCAAACTACGCAGGACAATAACACTGCAAAGAGAAGGAAAACTTGACACAAACCCTATATCAACCCGTCTGGCCAGCGTGGTATAGTAAGCCAAAACCTCCTTTCTAAGGAGAGGCCTGTGTCCGGCAGTGGACTGTTCTAGGCTGTTGATGATGAACCTCGTTTTTATTACTTTAAATAAAGAGTATTTACTGTGAGTTTAAAAACGCTACTACCAAAAATAACGAAGTTTCATTTAAATTTTCAACCCTCATTTTGCACCCTTAGGAGTGGAATTGTTAAAGATCTCTGAGGGTGCTAAAGGCGCACCTTTTTCTGGGCGGTCAAGCTTGGTGGGCGGAAGCTGATCAGAGGGTGGTGGCGGTTTATCTCCTACGGGATTTAGAAGTGGAAATGAGTGGCGTAAGGCCGCTCGCCACCACGATGATCGTTGGTCGTCCCAGCTGGAGGCTCCACCTACCTGCTTTGGCGCCGTGGAGGCAGTCCAGCCGGTCATCGTATAGTGGGCAGGTAACAGCATGGGACCCTTTCGTTTCCACTGACACAGGTAATTCTGGACGACTGCTTGAGGAAAAACCAGCAGTCCACTGCGGCTTCAGTGAAAACTCGGCACACACTGGTCAACGTAGCGTCAGGTGCTCATTACAGTCCTCCCTCCTATTTCAGGCGCAGTTTACACACCGTGTGGTTGTTCGGTTCGAACCCATGGGGGTTTCCACACGTAAAAATTTTTTAAAGAAATGAAAACTATAATTTGGAGTTATCACTACTATGCGGGGGGCGCAGATGAGATGCTTGCCTGCTCTTGATACTTAATCCGCCTCTGTCTATATGCAAGGTAAAATGAGAAGGGGAAAGAAAAACAACGGATATAGTATAAAAATTCTTTAACTTAGGAAACTAAATTCCAACAGTAATCCAACCTTATAAATCCTTCAACAAGATGATAACAAGAAAAAAGAATCTTTAAAATGTACTTAGTAAAGTTTTTATCTATTTAAAATATATGATTTTATATAAAGTTATGGTTAATATCAAAAGCTTACATAAAAAAAATATAACCTAGTTTGAAAATCGCTCAATCTCATTTCCCTCGTAATACACATAAAAAATTTTGATTTTCCTATTTTTGATTTAGATAGAGGATTTTTATAGATTATCTATAAAAAGCCTTTTTACAAACGTCGTTCCAATACATAAACCTACATAAAGAAATTGAGTATGTATACACCGACAATCTAATTCTAAGCCAGTCTACTAAAAAAGTGATCAGTAATGTTTTGTCTAGTAAAACCGGTTTTTATAAGCTTAGCTTAGCACAAAAAGTGTAGTTATAACTTGAACCAATATAAACTTTTAATAGGACAACACTATAGAAGTTGCTGTAACCGAACAATTAAATTCTACAATACTGGATGAGGAAGTTACAAATTTAAATTTTTAAATTAGAAATTCATCTGTTGATCAAAATACTATTGCTTTTAATAAAACTGAAGAATTTACTAAATTATTATGTAATTTGTAATTTTTTAACATTTGTAAAAAAAAAAGGATTCTTATTTCTGGCAGTTAAACTACGTCACAATATTGGTAACTTGCAATACTGATTCTTCGCATCAATGCTGCCAATCTAGTGGATTTTGCACTAAAACTGGTGGTTTCGATCCCCCTTGTAGTGGCGAAATTTTCCTTTTAGTGGCTAGTGCATTTTTAGTGGTTTAGTAGTTAAATTAAGATTGTAGAGGACTTAGGAAATGTTGTTAAAAAATGACCTGTGAGACTCTTTGTGCACAAACCTCAAGGACATTTGACAGGTAAGGAAGGATGAGGATTTGGATAGAAGTGCTCAGGAACAGAAGGATTAATAATTTTATGCAATGGGATGACGTAGGCTTTGTGCCAGAGGGAGGAAAAGGTTTCGGAGTCGAGAAAGAAGTCAATAACTTCGAGGACGTAATCCAGGATGGTAACTATCATCCTACGACTTGCTTGGCATTGCGTTACAGACAGACAGGATGAACTATTAAATGTCCCTAAAAGGCACAGGAGAAAATTCGAAGTTGATTTTATTGGGTCTGGGCAGACTAGCGATATAATTTAGGGCCCAACTCTATGTTTAATAATCCGGTTAAATAGCAGAAGAGAAATGTAGATTGATATCATTAAAACCAATGAAACTTGGACCGTTACTGACTACAAATGCCCCACGAATTGGCTAAGGGACTTCGACATTTAAGAAATTCATTTTAAAGCCGATGTTGAGTTGAGAGACTATAGATATAAATAGACTATACTAGACTATAGAATGAAGTTAAATCTTTTATCTGCTATATTAAGAATCGACTGTGATTTGTAGTTGCAAGGAGAATGCTGCAACAAATATGAAATTACAATAAACTTTGTAAAACAAATCGGAACCAAAGAATCTTATTAATTTGGGAACCGACGATGTTGGTGCTGACAAATCGTGTCTGTATTAAATTTTAATAAAGGAAACTAGTTATTAATGCACTTATGGTTTTCTTTCGTAATTACTTCAAAAAAAAGTTTAGTGGAAAATTTAGTATCTACTAGAGTAGGGTTTTCGTTAGTGGTTTTCTGGTGGTTTTAGATATTTAATCTGGTGGAGAGTTCATTTAACTGTTGGCAACACTGCTTAGCATACTGGTATCACTTATCAGTGGCATGTTATAAAATGGCGTCTGTCGTGTTTCGTTTGATGACCTCGTAAAAAAGTATAGGGACAGTTTAAAGTGTTAAATAGTACTTGTAAATAATAGTCGTAATTAAGTGAATTAAGCATCTGACGTTGTACTTATAATCTGTAAGTAGCATGGAATCCAGTTTACACGCTCTGTTAACATACAAAGGTTTCTCATAACGAAGGAGAAATGCTAATAAACTTCGTAGTAGGATTAATGGTGGTACTTTGCTTGCAGTCGAAAAGGGGCTTTTTACGTTTTAGTAAGAGTGAAATGTCCGAGGAGATTGAGCGGCATGGTGAGGCGACGTCTGACGGCGGCGCAGGTGGCGGCGGCTCGAGCGTAGCGCGTGTGTTATTGACCTCGCATCATCTCGACGCCGCCTCTGCCGACTCACTCCGCGCCGCATGGAGAAACCAGGACTTGTACATTGATCATCTCGAAACTTTGAACAAACAGTTGGAAGGTATTTAAGAAAATTACATCGGCTTGGTAGCGCCCTATGCGGCGTCGATCGTCACGCGAGTTATTAAGTTACTCTCTGTATCGACAATACTTTAACTAAAATTACCTAGTGATACTGTTATGAAATGATGTTGAAATGTTACTGTGATATTGAAAATTTTGTAGTTATTAAACGAAATGTGGTACGGGGTGTATTTAGGTGTCATAAGTTATGAAATGTTGAAGACGAAGAATTGGTGTTATGCTGTGTAAGAGAGGTGCCAGTGGAGTGTTCAGTGGAAGTGCTTATGGCAGCACAAGTGTGATATCTCCAGACTGCCCTGGAGCAGTGGCCATGTTCAGTGGTGTGTTACTACCCTCGGTTACTGAGCGAGCTGCCGAGATGTCCATTTATTGTGCACATGAAAAAGTAAATATGTTTTCAACTCTTCTTTTGCTGTATAGATAAGATATAATTCTAAACTTGCTTTATTTACTTTCTCTCTTATTGTTGTGTCACTTTGTTTATATTTTATCTTTATTATAAGTACTGCTCTGTGTAAGTTGGTAATGCTTTCTAAGATGACTGTGGACTAATCATTTTAAAATATATTGGTTGTGGTATATAGATTCTTCATAGCATAAGTACAGGGCAAATAATTTTAAGGTGCTCATTTTAGTATTAAAATATTATCAATTTTTGATGTTAAATGATGATGATACATCAAACTAGGTATTTCGAAGTTTTTCACAAATATTTTTAAATATCCTGGCTTTAAATATCTATGTTGCTGTTCAGCTTTGTGTCGTTGCATGTTAGTCACAGAGCATATAAATGACTCAATACGGCAGAACTAGTTCATAGCTTTGTTAATAATATTCATCATGTACATTTTAGTTGGCAATATTATGAATGCTGCAAGGTATATATTTAGTGATTAGAAATATATTTTTTCAAAAAATCATTACATTACCTCATGCAATGACAACTTAAATTATTAGTTTCATAAAATATACTTGTAGTAAAAACTCCAATAGGATAGTTTATAGTTTAGAATGTAAAAGAAGTGATGGAAGATTTTCATCATTTATTTATTGTTGAGAAATGTTACTTTAGAATTATTTATATAACTGAGACACAAAATGTATAACATACTTTTGAACTGCCGATGTTTCGACCACATTGCAGTGACTGTGGTCAAGGTTCAGTCTCATGATATTGACTTACACCCTGCCTACTGCTCCTCTGAAGCTCCTCTCCTGATTTGTAATATACAACACTAGATCATGTTAATTCCCATATACTTGCATAATTATATAAAGATTTAAAAGTTAGGGATCTTATTTCTGTTCACTAATATAATAAAATAAAAGTCTAGGATGACACTAGGTGTGATGGCTAGAATCTAATATAAATAAATATTAAAAAATCTTTTACAATAACTATTACTAATTGTTCTAATTAAAAGTAATGTTTAAATCCTCATACCTTAACTTTCTAAAATAATAACTTCACAAATCTCACACACAGCAGTGTGATCCCAAACTATGTAGTGCCTATGATATGGTAACCAGACTGTTAATAAACATTCTTATATATTTCTTAAAATGTACATATTACAGACAAAGTACTGCACAATCGTTGGCTCTGTGTCTGGCTAGACACAGAGCAAATGATTGTGCTTATCACAACTTGAACCCACAACTTCCAGCTTAACAGTCAGGGTCACTAACCACTAGACCAACAGGCCCGTCCCAATCGCTTTCTAAAAAGCTACTTTTTAAAACATCTTGCAAATAAGTGTATGAAAGATTCTAATTAGTATTTCTTATCACACTTTCTATATTTTTGAAACTAGCTGAAGGCAACATTCATTGGAATAGGTAGATATGTGTTCAGAAACTATACATTTTCCTTTTATTTGTTAATTACAGAATTGTTTGAACACCAATTCCTAACTACATTCTACCACTGTGAATGAGTAATACTATATATAATATATTGTACAGAACTGATGAATTCAGTGTTAGTTATTCAGAAATTAGAATAAAGAGGAAAAAATTACAGATAGCATGGGTTTGATTTCCACCCAGGACAAATTATTTTGTGTTAAGCAAGCTCATTTATTCTGTGTTTGTAGGTAGTCTGCCTAAACTATGTAGGTATTACAAAATATATAATATATATAAGTATGTTTATCAACAGCCTGGTTACTAGAACAGGCACTGTCTAGTTTGGGATCAGATTATGTATTTGATATAAATACATTATATCATTTAGAAATTACAAGTAATAAATAGATAATAACAGGTATCTTCACTATCTGAAACTCTTGAAATAAGTTTCTTCATACTTCAATATCAGGCAAATACCAGAAATCATAGAATACTAACACTTTATAGTTATTAGCACATTTAACTGTAAGGGTCAACTACATTAAACAGGTTTTGAACACCTGTGGCAAGGCTGACTACTACAAAACAAGTTGGTATTGCCACAACTGTGTTATGGGTTTTCTTAATACCCACACATAGATAGATTTGTAGTAATAAAAATGTGAATTTCACTCTAATAGCTTAAAATTGTAACAAATAATCTTGTTTTGTTAATCATACAAATTATTTTTAGTAATACAAATAAAGTAGATCTGATATTGAGAATCGTTTGCAACGATAAATTAGTATGAGCAGATATTTGAATAGCCCAATGCACAGATTATAACACAACCTAATGAGATATGTTACCCAGACACCTGCCAATAGAGTTCTGAAGGTGAACACTTTATGAATGTTATGGAGAATGTATTTAGGTGTGCTTAAACCTTTTTCTACAATATTACAGCAAGTTGTAATTAATTTCTAATATGCATTTTTTGTTCAATTTGTTTTGCACAAAGTGTAAATTGCTTTGCGATAATTTAAAAAAAACTCTGTATCTCAAATGTCTTAATCACAACTGCAATATCGGCTTTCATAAGCCTTTATGATATTACCTTTGAAAATATGAAAACTTATTCTAAAAGTGAAATTGTTATGTGGACTTTACACATTTGGATATTAGGGACAATGTACTACTACTAATAAAAGAAAATTTAACAGATTTCTATAAATTATGATTGTGTCTTGTCATAGTTCAAAGGTTTGTTATTATTTGAATAATGTTCTTCATATTATGTATATGAGCAAAATACATTTACGATTATTAAAATTTAATTGAAAAACAAAGTGAACATAATATTAAATTATGTGAGTCAATATGGAGGGTGTAGTAGATAGGATTACGCCTTAATAAGTATCACATCACACATCAACAGCCTTCAATAGTCCACTGCTAGTCATACGCATCTCTTTAGAAAGGAGGTTTTGACCTACTATACCACGCCAGATAGGTTGGTATAGGGTTAGGAGGAACCGGGCGGCGGAGGCGCGCTTACCTGCGCCTCATGCCGCCCTGAGTGTGGCCGCGGGTGGACGGGGTGGGTTTCCCCTCCACCCGCATTAGTTGGCCAGCCGCGAGGGGGCGGCGTCCGCGTGTGCCGGACGTCGCCTAAAGAGAGGATAATTGAAGACGGAGCCCGCACCAGGAGCGGGCCGGCGCTGGGAGGGGTCCAGAAGGCGATAACTACCTGGACCCCTCCTAAACTGGAAGCGCAAAGAGGGCACACCGTGTGGTTTTAGTCGGTTCGAGTCCGACACACCACCCCGCCGCAACCCCCGGTGGGGTGACGGTCCGAGGGGATTTCCACACGTTAAAAAAAAAAAAAAAAAAAAAAAAAAAAAGGGTTAGTGTCAAGTTTTCCTTCTCTTTGCAGCGCTGTTGTCTTGCATGTGTTGGTTGCTCCTTTAGTCGGCTCTTATGACACCCATGGGATGAATCGGTATAATGATTTTAATATATTAGTCATTATGATAAATAATATGTAATGATTGACCATAATTACATTCTTATAAAACAGACACTGCTTTCTTGTCGACATGCAAATGATAACAAGAAAAATATACTTAATTTTAAATAATTCAAGCAAATGAAAACTACTCTAAAAATTATAATGGCATTTTGTGTGTACTGTTTAACTACACAGTTTATCTATAACTTATTAACAATTTGCATTTTAGTTTTATAATCTAAAATGTAAGGATTCAATGTTAACTAGGTTTAAAATTAAATATTTTTAAATACTTTATATTTTAGTTAAGGTGTTGTCGATTATGATTATTGTATAGAAAACAAATAGGATTCACTTTAAATCTATAACAATATGCTGCAGTATTGTCACTCCAATGACCCTACAATCTTATCAAATGACAGCCATTTATTATGTATTTTAAGTGAGTCTACTGATATGCATATAGTTTATTGACATTATAGATACTGTTAAATATAAATACCACTTAATTATATGTAAAACATTTTTGTATGATTTTCTATTTATGTATATATGATTGATGTGTGCAGGCAGCTTGGAAAAGGCGAAAGAGGTAGAAGATAGGATAAAACAGCAGTATGCTGAGTCACAACACAGAGAGAAAGTATTGGTTAGGAGACTTGCTGCTAAGGAACAGGAAATACAAGATTATGTAGTGAGTACTTTATTTTAATATGAACAGATAAATCTTGGCATCTAAGTTACTATAAATTAATGAATTTCCATATAGAATAAAAAATTTATCACATCAATCAATGTTTCAAAATTAATGAAGTATTTGTTTATCTATTTACCATAATACTTACTACAGGAATTCATTGGCATCATTTGTTAGTTTATTTAGACAATAATAATAAATTAAAACAATTAGGAGCAAAAATAATCACATTGCTTAAATACTATTTTTAAGTATTTTTATTGGATAATTTCAAATTTTATAACAAAGATTGATAGAATTGATAAACCCAATGATAGAGTAGAAAATGACAATGTTATGCACAGATTTGTTTATGTGAAAATCTATGTAGAATATTATATGCATGTACAAAAAAAGTTATTTAAGTATGAACAAACTTTTTTCAGTTGATGTCTGTCTAAAAAGGGCTGTGTATTGTCACAGTTTCTTATTATTATAAGAACATGACTTCGAGTACCGATTAAATTTTTTCCATCTGTATTTTCAGAGTCAAATTACTGAACTAAAATCTTCACACGCAAGTCTAAATGGTCGACCTACACTCCTAGATCCTGCTGTTAACGTACTTATTCTTAGGTTAAAACAAGAATTAACGTCAACGAAAGCGAGATTAGAAGAGACGCAGAACGAGTTATCGGCGTGGAAGTTTACTCCCGACTCAAACACAGGCAAGAAGCTTATGGCAAAGTGTCGACTCCTCCACCAGGAAAATGAGGATCTAGGTCGTATGACGTCAAGCGGGCGGATAGCTAAGCTTGAAGGTGATCTCGCATTACAAAAAAGTTTCAGTGAAGAAGTCAAAAAGTCTCAATCAGGTATATATTTTTGGCAAAAAAACAAATATAAACACGACTTTTCTGTATAAATCATTTGGCTACTTATAAAATTATTATTTCAGAGTTAGACGAGTTTCTTCAAGAGTTGGACGAGGATGTGGAGGGCATGCAAAGCACGGTATTGTTCCTACAGCAGGAGTTGAGAGCGACGCACGCCACAGTGAATGGAAATCGGCCTCCCTCGCCGGCAGAGAAAAGGACTTATTCCGGTAGTGAGTGTAGCGATACGCCAGTGGGGAAAAGAAGGCGCGCCTCTGTGCTTTCCCTCGACTACAATGAGGACGAGGAGCCCCTTACCGTAACGAACGGCGATGCTGACTAGCCCAGGACCTCAGTGTTCACGTTCAGAACACGCTACTTTAATATGAACTAGTGAAACTTGTGAAAAGCTATCGTATCTGTTTAGTCTACGGCCATTTCGTTGACTCGAAATATTATTGATGAATTATCATTGTGAGTGATGAATAATGTCTAATACTGAGGTGATATATTGGTTCTGTGTCTGTCACTCATTAATCAAATATGTGAGATGCTTATTTATTAGCATATAAAGTGTATTCTTTAAAAATCCATGTACTTTCACTAGAAGACGAGAAATTAGACAAACATGTGTCATTTCCATTGACAATGAATTGGTGATGATTGTGTCTAACGTGAAAATGAAACAAAGAAAACATTTGGTAAAAGTATAGTTTGCGTTTTATGCACAACAGTGGACCATGTGATCAGATTTAATAGTGAATCGTTTTTTGACATTGTTTTTACACTTGAAATATAAGACTAGACACTGAGTTGACCATTTTATAATTTATTTATAATAAGTGAATTATTGTGATACTTATTAGAGACCCGATGATATATGAGAAATGCAATGACTTGTGTTGCGAGGATTAGGTGTTTGGTGGCATTTATTTTATTTATATGCCAGAGAATGAATCGGAAAGTCGAACCTGTCGGTACATATAGCAATAATGTGGAACACCAAGCCTAATGTTTTAATAATTGTCACGTTTTTAATAAATTTATGTGAGTTTCAATATGAAATGTTTCTATTTTCAAATTACAATGATTGTATATAGTAATGTTAATAAACATATATAACTTGCATCATGTTTTGCGTATTATTTTGTTTAAAAATTATACACATAAAATGTTTGACATACTCTGAACTAGGAATGGCACTATATAAAAAAATTATTACACTGTAATAAAATATCCAATAACACTTATTCTTTCCATAAAGAACAATGAAATGCACTTAACAAATGCATTTTGGTTTGTGGTTTCTGTGGGTAAGTGAAATCTTCAAATAATACAGGTTAAATATATTCTCTTTACGATATTTTATCAAAGTAATTTGCGTTCAAGCTATCTCCACAAAAAGCATCTAATTAAAATAATTTCGTAAAAAATTCACGCTTGTAATAATTTTAATTAACATAAAGTAAAAAGAGCATTTTAATAGTTTTTTTTTGTGATTAAAGATAATTATTGTTAATTATGAGGGTCATTACTTATGTATAAAGGAGAAACGGTTTACCTTGGTCATTATATTCGTTTTATGGATCGAAGCCATTTTTTTCAATTTTCGAAACCTACCTAATTGTAATCCTAGAGTAATACCTAGCTTCAACTTAAGCTTACTACAGATGGGACATTCATTTATTTACTATCAAAATCTAAAATGTCTGTTAAAGACCACAATCGTTGCAGTTCGATAATAACAACCTGCAAATAATCATAATATCAATGAGTTTAACAGAACTTATTTATATTTGTTTCTTATCCATGAAAAGAGATTTTATTTACGAGTTTCAAAAGAAGAAATATTATTCTTCCATAGGAACGAGTTTCGACAAAGAGATTATTCTATTAGGCGGCCGAAGGGGTGGGTTTTCGCTAATTCATAACGGATAGCGTTACTATCTCAGCTTTAGCTCGTCTTCTATAGAAGACAGGAAGGCAATATGTAACAGTTTAATTATACTAGCAAAATCCTCATAAATGAGTCAAATCAAATACACACATCGAAAAAGTCTAAGAGTAACGCATCATTTACAGAAACTGCATATATTTTTTTCTTTGATATTTTATTTTTTTCTTAGCAAAGTAGATTAGTATACAATCTTTTTTGTTGTCGGAAACACATACCGGCTGATTTCAAAAATATTAACTTTTCGATTGTGTTTTGTTTTCATTACAATGAAATATATTTTTTCCCGATGCCATGTGTTTTTGTTGATTGATAAATTTGTTTTTTTCTCACTTGTATTTCATATTGAGATAATCTTAAAAAAAAAACTTTTTACTAAAAATAAAAAAAAATGTGGTGTGTCATTTTTGTCATGGAGCGACGCCATTTGACTGCTAATGAAATGTAGGAATGCTGCAAGCGGGCAGAAATCATGCACATTTTGGTGTCAATAGGAGCGTGATTTGTCGCCTTTGGCATCGTTATGTTAATACAGGGTATGGCTGCTAAGCAGCATCCAGGACGTGGAAGGAGTACCTACAACTGCTCGACAGGACCAATATAACTAACTGCATGACGTCAGCCGATGTTAACCACCCGGAGGTGTAAAGCTACAATTCTCAAGCGGTGTTCTTAAAATAGGCTGCATGAATACGGCCCACGAGCACGCGCCCAATTAGGCGCCCACCTATACGCCATTAGAATTGCGCCCGTCAAACGAATTGTGTAGGGAACACTTAACACGGACCCAGACACGAATGGGTTAATGGATAAAAAAAAAATTACGACGAGTCCCAGTTTAGATTTGGGCCTAATACGAGAAGGGTGAGAGTGTATCGTCGTCCCGGAAATTCTGAACGGCTGAGATGCGTCCAGGAAGTGTACCCTTACATCACTGTGGAGCCACTCCACAGTGATGGTATGCGCGGGTATTATTAAGAACAGACGAACTAAGTTCGTTTTTGTAGATAGCAATATGAACGCTGAAACTTACGTTCAATCACAACCCATATTGTGTCGCAACTCCGTAAACATTCATTCATAATAGGGTTATTGTCATTATTAACATACTTATAAATAAAATCACATTACAATTTACTAAATTAAAATTAAATTATTAGTGACTTTTCCATTATCATAACACATACTTACATAAAATAAACAAAAGAAAATATAGATATTACATTCATTCAATACAACTATTTTTAATCAGTTTAATTTTATTATTATTAATTCCATAAATTTACTGTATACCTATTTCGTACGTGACCCTCAGCGCTGCCAACTTCTAATGAAGTTCTACTACATTTTTCCAAAGGTTTAAATTGAAAGTGCAGACAACATTACTATTTTAAATGCCTGCTGTAGCAATGTCGCATATAGGGCCGATCTGGTCTGTCTGCTATCATCGCCAGGACGGAATTGGAGCAGTGCCGCACCCTGCGCACCCATTGGGCATGGTGGTGTGGAAGCAGTCGATACGAGCTTTCGCAAACATGCCCGAGGCACTGCAGAAGCGGGGCAGCCCCACCACCGCCCAGAACGCATTGTTATATTGAACACAGGGCGTTATAGCCAAGTTGCGTGTAGTTAATCCACAGACTGAACGTGTATAGGGATGTACAATATACTTTAAAGTGTTACCTTTGCTGGTACTGAACAGGGTGCAACCCTGCGAGCAATCATATTAGCTCTTTTTGACAACGCCCATTATGTTCACCCATTTGCACTAAGTCTTGGCTCAGATTTCACACTGATGCATGACAATGCGAGATCGCACACAGCTCGGAGGCCCAGAGAGTACTTGGCAATGGAAAACATCCGGGTATTTAGACCTCAATCCCATCGAGCACACATGGGACATGCTCCAAAGAACCTGGACGGAGTGTCGAGAATCCAACAACTGAAAGACTTGTTTAAAATTCGATTGGAAGCGGTTGCAGCAGGATCAGATTAACATTTTTATAATTTCAATAAAAAATCGTTGCCGACAAGTTTTAAATAACAGAAGCGGTCACACTTTGTATGGAATTACATAATAATTAAAACAAAATGTCGTTATTTAATTTTGTAAAACATGACGTTTATTTTATTTTCCACTAATAGCAATTTTTAACCGATAACTCTTATTCTTAAGTTAGTTTCTTAACAATTAGGGAAATAATCAATGATCTGATTAACAGTGAGCTATGCACAAGCGCAAGATGAAAAACAACAAATGTACAGAAACGCACAAGTGTGGCGAACGACTCTGCGAGGTCCTGGTGACATAATTCTAATCAAAAAACTACTGGATCAACAAGGTTTATTCTAAAATATTTTCTTTTTGACTTAATTAAGTGTAACAAAATAATTTAGCCAGTTGCTACTGTGACAGGTGAATCCAGAATTATAGGAACGCTCTCTGGTTTTGTTCCAATATCGCTATGCCCCGTTATAAGATGGCACAAATAGGCATTACTGTAGATTTTGAAATGTACGTTAAGTAAAAAGAGTTCAGAATGTATAGATTATCTATTCGGTATTTAGTTGCCAAGGTCGTCGACAATGGTAGTTATTTTTTGCTGATAACTTTAGTCGGGATCATAAACATGCACCTAACAAATAGTTATGTTAGAAAACTTATTTATCTTCGTGACACTAGACATATCGATATGGAAGCTAGTTCCATCAAGCACAGACTTCCTGGTTCCCGCTGAAAATGTAGTAAAAGTCAAGCAAAACTTGTCAAGTCGTAACATGACCTTTATTGTGACCATACCTAACGTGCAGAGAAGCATTGATGACCAGAAAACTTCCCCAGCCTTGTGGGACGAGCACACACTTCGAATTGGTGAGTATAAATTAAACTGACCATACATTTGTTGAACTAAAAGAGTTCATATTCATGAATATTTCATGAATATAAACCAGTAGGTACGTGACACGTGATTAGGGACACTAGTTTTTTATTTAGTTACAAACATCTTAATTCTTATGGACTCGAACCGACTAAAACCGCACGCCGTCTCAGGTACTAATAGTCGGGGAACCAGGTATAGCCTAGTAAGGAAGTCCCTGGTGCCCCGACATACCTCGGGCCATCTACAGACGAGTAGACGACCCCCCCCCCCCTCCGTGAGGGAACCCCATGTTCCCTCTGCTCCCTGGAAGCGATCGCACTTCGCAACGCGCTCGCCGCCACCCCGGCCTGCTTCTGTTAGGGTGACGGATGGCCTCAACTGTCACCCCCAGGCCTGCGCAAATCAAGAGTCACAAACGCGTTACCGGCCTTTTAGGAAGGAGTACGCTCTTTTCTTGAAGGTTTAAAGGTCGTATCGGTCCAGAAATACCGGTAAATGCTACCTGCTGTCAGATTGAGAGATCCATAGTTCTGTTTGCTAGACTATAAATCTCAAAGCAAATATTTTAAAATCTGACCAAAAGATTACATTAGCTACTTTAGTAATCTAAGTAGGTATTAGATTTCTTTTTGTCTCATAGGTCACCGAATGAACTGGAAATCATTCCCGCCTTTGAATATAATTGAAGAGTATTTAAATTTCCTAGCTGAAGAATATTCATCAATATGTAAATTACAAGATATTGGGTATACTTCTGAAAACAGAGCAATAAAGGTAAATATCTAATATTAGTTTAGTGTCTGACAATTTATTCAGCAATGATGTTTTGAAAATGATGAAAAAAGAAGGTTTTGTATGGTTTTTGCGCTTATAGCCGGAGCGTCCGGGGGTCAAAAACTGGGTTCTACGGACTTCGTTCCATCCGAAGTCCATTGGAAACCCCCTGACGCCCCGGCTATTATCTACCGGTAAAACATTTCTGACCCAAGAATGCATGTACTTTTTCTTCTGTCGCTTTGAATATAAAGTAAGTATTAACGCTAAATTATGTTCCTACGTAATAAAGGTTAACGATAAAAACCCGCATATAAGGGTTATGAAGAATGTACTAAAAAGTGTAACATTAATAATGATAATATGGATGAGGCCTCTGGTTGTTCTTCGTTGAAAAAATAAGTAATGTCGTTGAAAATAAACGATAAATGCTTTTCAGTGATTGAAATTTTCTACTAGCTTGCGATAGTTGGACGCCTGCCTGCAATCCCTATAAAGGCGCCCTTTTTTCCGTGCCAATTCTTCCACTTTAGATACCCCCCACCGGAGGGACGACCAGTGGATCTCCAAGAACGCATCGGCGATTGAGGCACATCCCAGGGTGACCATGATCACCCTAGGCGGGATGCTGCTGCGCCTTCACCGTTTATACAGTAAGAGGCGCAACAGCACCCCGGCCCTAAAAGACACCCCCAGCCGCACCGGAGTGTCACCTGACTTGGGTCGTTTGCAGCAGCACATCACCCTCGATCAATGCTGGTGGTGACAAGTTTCGTCCAATCTGTCCAACCAGGACTCGACACTCGGCCTCCCATGCAGGGCAGTCTTCCAGCGTGTGCTGGGCGGAGTCCCGATTCGATTCAGATACTCACCGAAGCAACCGTGCCCGGCGAGCATCTGAGTCAATCGGTAGTAGACACAGTCGATCCTCCCTGCCCACACTTCGAAGCTCAGCAGGTCGGCTCCGACGGCGCGTTGGTTAGCACAGCCCTGGATTTTGAGCCGTGCTTCCCAGGCTCGCAACGCCTGCGTATGCGTGTTCCGCCGTAGCATTCCGGGCTCATGATCCGGCGCGGCCTCTTCAACATTCTGACCGATAGAGCGAGCTTGGTCCTAGACCATCGCGTCCATGTCGACCAGAATGTCGAAGGGTGGATATCGCGCCAGGACGCTCAGCAGCGCGTCGCGTGGCCACCTGTCACCAGACCTGCACCGTCGGAGAATGGAGCCGCCTGGCAGATCGGGAGTGTTCTATACCTCTCCCGGTCCCACTCCGCCCTCTCCTTTGCGATCACACTTCCTTGCAAAACAGTTGGCGGAGTTGCTCCATACTATGGTAGGTATGGTACCGAGCGAGAGAATTCTCAAAATAGCCGCCACGCCAGCCAGTCATTCTGTCAGCGTGTAAAGCATCATGTCCACGCTCTGGCCATCGCAGTAGTGGCACCCGTTAGTGGCGTTGGCTCCTTGCAGATCAAATACAAGTGATTCCGAAGCATCCTTTCCCGGTTATAACCTGCATCAACCGGTACGAGGTTCCCGTGGTGTCTCCTTATAAGGGAATGCGAAACTTATAAACGCTTGTATATATTTTCGTACACTGATCAATAGATGTTATTATTATGACAATACAAATACTTATATTAGACGTGAAGCTTATGAGAACGTTTCGTTTTCGTTTCAATATCTGCATTTTCCACCGCCGCTGCTGGACATAGGTCTCCCCCAAGTTTTGCGACAATAACCGGTCCTAAGTTACTAACTTCAAATTGTTTTAACTGCACATTTAACATTTTAGATGATCAATATAACGAACGGCAATCCTAAAAACAAAATTGTTCTTATAACAAGCGGAGTACATGGACGGGAATGGGTGTCGATTACTTCTGTACTATACGTTTTGAACACAATTGTAACACAATTCGACCAACAACCAGACCATATCAAGAACAAAAACTGGTAAGATTTATACAACTGGGTTGGCAAAATGCTATTTCATGGGAAGAAATAACCGGTGCCTATATATACACAACACTAGTGTCACTACTGCGTTGGTGATGGGAACAAGCTGTTGGCTATTGCAGAACTACCTACACCAGATGGTTACTTCGACTTTTATAGAAATCCACTGTAAATTACCGTATAGGTCGGGCTCCTTGTCAAAGATTCTACGCCATCCGATTTTTTTTTTAATTATTAGGATATTTATAAAACCCAAAATTCCATTACATTTTAGCTCTCAAAATCCTTCAACACATTTTTTCTTTAAAGTACGAGCATGTGCACAAAAAAAGTCATGGTTGGAAAAGCAACCATGCAACATTGTAAAGTACCAATGTAGTTTGGAAAAGTTTAAGTTTTGAACAGTTTACTAAGCATATCTTATTCGGTATTTAACAAATCAATAGGGACAATATTTTTTTAAAGTTTGTTAGCTAGAATATATTTTTGCCAGTTTAAAACGTGTTAAACGTGTGCAAAAAATGACTGATGTTACATTTCAGGTTAATAATCCCAGTCGTAAACCCAGACGGATACCACTTTACGCACACACACGATAGACTTTGGAGAAAAAATTGTCGCAAATTTCTTTCTTGTAAAGGTGCAGATATTAACCGAAACTTTGAGTAAGTTTTCAAATAAAAATGTTTCTAGTTTAAATAGCCCCCGATGGGGAAATTTCCCTTTTTTAAGAAAATTATCTTTAGACACAATCTACAATAATTTTTCTGCAACTAAGTGCCAAACCCCGATAAACCAATAAATCGAAGAGGCAAACAACAAAATGATCTACATTTTTTAGAAACTATTACAATGCCTAAAATCATTGCATTCGACAAAACATTTTTAAAAGAAATTTATTCATCTCTGTCTACAAAACACGTAAATATTTTTAAAAAGTATGATCTTATAAGTATAAGACATATTTAAAAACAGTTTGAAATATCTAGATGATAGATAAAAACCGACTGCACGGATAACGTAGTGGATGAAGCGGTCAGTGAGTGAGTGAGTGTTGTGGATTCGATCATGATTCCACATGGGACAATCCACCTCCCACATCCCCACTTTGTGTGATCTACAAATTGTTGTTTCGAGCCTTAAGTGTACTTTGTGTCCGTTTCATGTATGTTGACATGTGATGTACATATTCCTAGTTAGTTGTCTTTAAAAAAAAAGAAAAGGATACCAAAAAATGAGCAATAGTTACTACCTAATAGCTACACGACTTAAAGACAATAGAGATAAGATAGACAAGAAGTAGCATTTGCAGTTAATAAAAAAATGAAAACAGTTTTTTCAGTTTCTTTATCCTAAATCTATAGCTTTATATACAAGATCCTTATGAAATTTCGGAAAAAAAATGATTTTATTTTAGGGACAGAAAATCTACTTATAGGTTTTCAAGAACTTCTCCGTAATCCAGGTGTTTTTTTTTCAATTGTTCTTCCCCTAAAAGCTCATTTGAACAATAACATTCACCTCAAATCGGTCCAGTCGTACTTAGTGACTCGACCTAAAACTCTGAAATACGCTTATCAACGATCAGCACTTTATGTTTATAAATTAAGCAAACAATCAAATCAGGAAGTATTGCTCCTACATTATTTTAACCACTTATAGATTAGATTGGGGCATCACTGGTATAATAGAGACCGGCGAATGTAAGGACGCGTATGCTGGACCCTACCATTTTCTGAAGTAGAATCAGTTGCAATCGCTGTAAGTTTTAATACTTATTACATGTTTTAATGAACGATTTAATTAGTTATAGCTAAGCTTACTGACTACTAAAATCCGTTGAAAGGATCAGATATAGACAATTGAAATGTCAAAGGATTCTTGAGATGTTTTTACTACAACAACATATTTAAGTAAACCTACCAAGTATCTACATCGATATTATTATCTGTCGCTTTTTTTGCTGCTCTTATACTACTCTTTAGGAATAGCGTAGTGCTTCTTACATTTAAATAACATTGGAGAATGGTTAACATTCCCCTTACGACTTCCACAAGTATATCTGGGTACCCATATATCGTAACGATCAAGAAATCTATCTAAAATATGTTATGCGTCTGAATTACGTCCATCCTATGACTCACAGAAATATCACGTCACGTCACAATAATCACAGTGCACAGCGGCCTACGATAAATATACCTAAAAGTTGTTATATTTTGTAGAACGTTGTATCAAATACGAAAAAGAGAGTAAATGCTTTAATAGACGTTCACTCGTACGGACATCTGATCCTGTACCCATGGTGTGCGAGGAGTCAGAAATCACCTGATTTGGATCTGCACAAACTAACTGCAGAAGAAATGGCCAAGGTATATTTTCTTTAATTTCAATGTGTTGATATCTATATTAATATCCTTCCTTTGCTAGGGCAGTTAACTTAAGTTGCTCCCAAGAAGAATGATTTGAGCTGATAGAACCTTAGTGAATACAAACACTTTTCGATTTAATGAAATTGTCAAGTGCCTTATAATATCACTTTCTTTCTTAAATGACATTCTCACATAATCTTTTGGCCTGTTGATCTAGTGGTAAGCGATCCTGACTGCTCAATTTCGGTTCGGGTTCGTGGGTGCAATTCCCAACCACAATTTGTTCTTTCTGGGTGAAATTTATCTATAATATGTTTTTATTTATAAATATATTTGCCTGGTTTGCTTGGCCCTGATAACGTGAATGGGACTGAAATTATTGGCAGCAAAATATACCTAAATCTGTCCACCCCTTCGGGATATAAAACGTGAGTGGGTAATATGTATAATAATAATATTTCGGACATCTGACACACAACGCCATCTAGTTTTAAACTAAGCAGAGCTTGTACTATGAAAACTAGATTGACTGGTAGAATACTTGGATCCTTTTTTTGTAATTACATACATATTATACATAGAAAACACCCAAACTCCGAAACAAATATGTTTTTGTAGTTAATCTTTACTTCTTACAGGCGATTATGGCTGAATCTGGAATAAAGTACAACCATGGTCCCACTTACCACAGAATATACCCCGCTACGGGCACCATGCTAGATTGGATCTACTATCAAGGAGCTAAACATTCTTATGCCATTGAAACGAGAGACAATGGCCAGTTTGGTTTTCTATTGCCACCACATGAAATTGAAGACACAGGCAAAGAAATATTTGCTGCGGTAAATTCTTTAGCTAGCACTCTTGATCCTAAAATTTTGCAAAGAGCAAAAGACACTGAGGCATGGTTTTAAAATTCAATTAACTAAGAAAATTGTGATGTACCTATTAAATAAGACAGAAGCTTGACTAATAAGGTTTTATAAAAGTTGTATTTTAGTTTTAAATAAAATTACTCCGGTAACCAATAGAGGATTTTCACTTGAATGTGTATTTATTACTAAAGCATAAATCATCATATAGAATTTTTTTTAACGCAGAGATACTTACACTTCCTTCGCCGTGATACCCGAGACCTATCTCAATATGATAATATTGCAATAATTGTTCTGCACTTTTTCATTAGTACCTATATATCACTATAACTGTAAAAAATTACCTGATATTGGTGAATATTTACATATACAGTTATAGTTCCTCCAAAGTGGCACGACATAAACATATTAAGAGAAAATTTTAACAGTTTGAAGAAAAACAAAAATTTAACAAATATTATCCATCGTAAGAACACAGAATCGGAATATTGTTTATCATTTTGAACCCCTTCGAAATATTTTAATCCCATCCTAATTCAGTCAAATTAGCGATCAACCTCGGAATAAGAAATAATTGAAAGAAATAAAAAGCTGAATTTTTGTATATACCTTCATTTTGGCGTTGTAAAATTTGTCTCAAATGTCTCATAAAATCTCGTGTCTGGATGTAGTGTAGAAGCAAGGAGAACCATCTAAATGGGGGAAAGTTGAAGAAGTATCCAGCTGTATACTGAAAATAGAGGTCGCTGGCGTACGAAAACCTACGATATGAACACAGCTGGTTGTAGACAAAGTGAAGTAATAATAAAAATAATTTTCGGACATCTGACTCACAACGCCATCTAGTTTAAAACTAAGCAGAGCTTGTACTACGAAAGCTAGATGGACTGATAGAATACTCATATTATTATATATATATTTGTAAATATAATTAAACCTGGTTAAGTGGGACCTGGATAAGTCAGAAATCTCTATACCTCTATAATTGAGACTCTGTACTTCTGTAGCTCAATTACCTGTATAAGTGAGACAAATTAATCAGGTTTTAACACATTTGACATGTTAGTTTACATACATTTCGCGTCGCCTTTCGCGCATGCTTTGTTTGTCAGTACTATCTCAGGCTTTGACCTAAACACAAGGGAATAAAAGTGTAAAAAATGTCCAAACTTAAATATAAAGTGTTATCAGACTTATCAATATCTAAAAAATTAAAACTTCTATCAGATTATGAGTGTGGAAAGTCGCGTGATGACCTGTGTAGGGAGAATAACATGGAATGGAATAACGGCACATTTCGACCTCTAAGCGAGGGCCTCTGTGAATGAGACAACTATAATTTTAAACCCGCTTACTTAATTGGAAAACTGGATTATTGGAAACCTTTAATAATTGGTACATATGTCTTGGCCCCTTGAGATCCCAATTAACCAGGTTTCACTGTAAATACATATTATACGTAGGAAACACCCAAACTTCGAAAGAAACAGATCATACAAATATTTGGTCCGATCCGGGAATCGAATTCGAGACCTCAGTACAGCAGTCGCATACACCACCGCTTCTGTGTGGTGACGGATTAAGAATACGGAGTGTCACCACCCCTATTCATCCCGTGGATGTCGTAAGAGGCGACAGTGGACTATTAAAGGCTGTTGATGTGATCATGTGATACACCACCGCTGCAGTTAACGAAGTGTGCTAGTTGTGCTTAGTTAAAATATTATAATGCTTTTACTATCTGAGAGTTATTACACGTTTATTGATTGTCTGTAACACTCATTGAATATTAACGCAGTCTAGTACAGTGTCTTCTTATTCTTTAAGCCAATATAAGTTTATCCTAGCCTAGCAGCGCAGCGCCACCCTTCTCACACTTTTCATAGACGGAGACGGTTCTCCTAGCCTTTAACCTCCATAGTTGTAAGTTTTTCAAGGTTAAAGCCAAAATGAATTTATATACTTACGAAAATTCAGATTATTATCCCTCATTTCGAGGTTGACCCCTTTTTATGCTAACTAAAGTAACTGGACTAATTCCGCCAAATTTATCTTTAAGGTAACACAACATGCGAGCTCACGAAACGCAAGTCGTTAAACTGATCCTGACTGACAGTAAGGTTTCCTGAAAATTAAGCTAACTTAGTGTTTTCTCTTCACATCGCGTCATTAGTGTTATTTATAACTAGTATGAAAGTAGTTTAGTGTTACTACATTGTCGGGAGACTGGTTGTAAGTTAATCTAATGAACTCGCAGGGGAGAAAACGTGTTAAGATGCAAACCATAGCTAATACGGCTTACTTTAAACACTTTCTTTGACAAACTTAAAAATAATTTTATATATCTGGTAGATAATCTATTTATGTCGTTCTTCAAATGCACTTGACATCTAGTCTAGTGAACATTTATGGCTAACGAAAACACGTGTCTCGATGCCAAAATCGCTTTAAAGACAAGTTGTCGTTTCACTTTTCGTGTGCCCTTTCCACCACACCAAAAGTGCAGGCAACCTGTCCCACCGAGAAGAACACAACATAAATAGTGCTTGATTTAGGCCAGGCACATAGATAGAAGAAACGCACTTAATAATTTCGATTTCAATCAAATATCAGTTCGATTATATCGAAGCGCAAGGAAAAACTAAAAATATTGTATGCAAATTGTTCTAAAAAAAGCAGATATTTCGAAGCCAGAGTAGAGAGGTGTTATGGCCTTTATTTTCGACGAACATTATACAAAGCATTGGGGAAAAGTACGTATCACTTGCTTATTTGAATCAATACAGAACATTTAAGTGGTTACATCGTTCTTGTATAACTCAAAGATAAGAATGGGTTCGTCGACGGAAACAATAGATTAACTTGCTGTTCTGCTCCCGTTTTACATAGAAATTGCAGTTCCTCATTTCACTTAGAATAAAGTGGTGACAAGGTAGGATATCATATTCCTATGAGCCGGTTTAGTGTATTCTCTAAAAAAATTACATTAGTTATAGGTACGTATAATATGGGCAGCGGAAACCGTCGCGTCAGTGTCACGAATAGCGACACCTATCGATCAGGTCACTTAGGATAGATCCTAAGTGACTTTAAAAAGTTAATTTAGGGGTAAACTTCGGGTTTGTTCTTTAGGTAAGAAGGTGGTTTTACAACACTAACGCGCATTTGAAAGACAAATCTTTTCTAATAGATCTATAGACATTTTAAATCGAACTACATAATATGAAACATTTTACTACTTAAATTATAAAATAAAACACGACTGTACACAAATATACTTATTTATTATATAGTTAGAAGGCACAACGGACACGCTGTATCGGTGGGTTCACAAAAAAGGCTTTAAAACACTGACCAAAATATGACTAGAAGATTTTTCTATTTAAGGAACCTTGTTATGTATACGTATAGTATAATTTATTATGTAGATTGTGCGTAAGCAGTCATATAATTTATTGAACAACCAACAATCACAATATCTAATCTTAAGTAGGACCTAGGCACTCTTAGCACATTTAATTATCAATAGCACATTTATTATAACTACAATAACATGGTCCCTGTCCCTCAAACAACATGTTCTTAAATTGATTGTACCTATTTAGTTTTTGTTTTTCAAACTAAATCTTATAATTTACTTTTAACCCAAAGTTCACAATGCGTCATACGAATATCAAAACTCTAAGCAACATAATTTTCTAATTCTCTAAATACTAATATAGTAAGTACTCAATACACGTTTAGGTTTTCATAGTTTTATCCATAAAATTGTACTTATTAAAATACATTTCTTCCACTAAGCTTTTATATTAAAACTACGCCTCTATCGTATAGCTTCAATATTTGTCTTTTTTCCTTTAAATCTAGATTAGGGATGAACTTTGATCGATAAGCACTTAGCACAAACTGAAAAGGCTTATTAGGTAAATCAAATACTCGCAATGTTACGATTGGCATAATTAACAACCAAATAAATATCAGTTTTTGACACGATTTCTTTAAAAAAATTACAGGCTCGGTATCAGTCTCGTCTAAGATTTCAACCAAGAGCGATACAGATGGCATTTTCTTCGTGGTTTCTCTCTTTTTCAAGGCTATCCCCATGGTTTTTGTTTCTTAGCCAATAATGGATATGCTAGCTAATATAGATTTATGAAAGTTTCTTTCGAATTTACATGTGAGAAAGTAAACTGCATATTCCGAGTTAATTTTTTTTTAAATCACTGCATTTTTTTGTGTCGCAAGAGTTACACAGATTCGGATTTATATTATTTGCTACAACAAGAAGAATATTTAATGAAAGTAGAAACTCGACTGTTTTACTAATATAGTGAACTCACACCTTCGATCAACAATACAACTATCTGTATTTTTATATTAAATATTTGTATATATTATTGTTGTATTGTTAATTATTTTTGATATATAATTCATAAAAGTCGGTTTTGTCATTAAGTAGTAGGTAACGAGTACCTACAACATACAGACATACAGGTCTAACTTATAAACCTGCATTTTTAGCTTCGGCGCAGTCGGGTAAAAAACGCACTTATTACTCAGACGTTTGCCTTCGAAATTGCAACAGTACTGCCAGCTTACAAAAACACGTGCGACTATATAGAAGCTAACAAAACTACAAAGCAGATTCAAACAAATTTAACAACACAATTTAACATCAAATACAAAGCATGAAAGCAAATAAAATTTGGTTAAAAATAATAATAATATTACGTTAAATTGTGATAAAATTTAACATCACGATAAGATTTACCTACTTTTGATACGCATTACAAAGAACCAGCGCTGGGTGTTGTGACGGAAGAGTCCTTCCTAAATCCAAGATGCGACACAACGTCAGTTAGTGGTTGTAATGGGGTAAAGCCGTAACTCAATGCTACTCCTGACTCCCACAAATTAACGCGCCAGAACACAGGCTATGTATTAAACCAAAAAGCTAAATAATATAGAACTACCTCATTAGCAGTGTTGCTAACTCTTTGAACTAGCTCTCCGTAGACTCCTTTCAAAAACCTTCAAAATAGGCCCTCAAAATAACAAAAAATAAAGATCTTTAGCATTGAATGGAACAAATTACCTTTTATAAGTTAAGAATTTTAATATTCTCTTACATTTTCCATTTCACAGAGGGTGCTAATTTTTTTTGTCCCAAATGAAAAATAGTTTATTAAGTTCACCTTGGTATAGGTTAATAAGGAGAACTTTGTATGGTTCTATAATTCTCAAAAAATGAATTTTAACCATTTCATCTCCTTAAAATAACTTCGGTAAAACCTATTCATTCCTAACTTTTTACCCAAAGTTCCAAGCTGGCAACACTGCTTAGTATCCTACTACACGTAGAATGAATAAACTTAAAAAATGCCTCTTTGGCCTCCCGTATATGTTAAGTCTATGCATATACTTATTACTAAGAATTATTAGCGGGTATCCTTTTTATTCGTAGTATTAGGAGTATCTCCCCCAGCATATACATGGTTTATGCCAGCCTGATAACTCAGCAGCTTATCGTCAGCACTTCGCAAGCGTTCCTGCAGTATCTCAACCGTTCTATTGAGAAGCTTGATCTCTTCTTGCAAAGGATAAACCTGCATGTTCATCTGCATCAACTCCTTTTCGTGGGCCAATTGTAAAGTATGAAGCTATGTGGAATAGAATTATATTAAATCACTAAATACATGTTAAAATATTAAATATATTTTTTTAATTACTTCGAGATAATTAAAAGTACGAGTGCCTTAAGCGCATTTATAAACTGACACTATTTCCCTGTACAAACTCACAGTCGAAACAATGACGCAGGTACGACATCCACGCAGTATTTTTTTAATAATATTGTCTTTGTTTGCCGAGTCCAAGTACCCTAGTATATGTCGTGTCTTTGATCTTATACATCGCATTAGTATCAGTTAAATTTACGCATGTGACAATCTTCAAAAGCCTTGTTAAGTCTGGGCGAATCAAAATCTATTATACGTATACATTATTTGAAACAGCTTACATTTATACTATGATTTCATTATAAAAGTAAGCAGAGCACAAACGAGTGTAAATTTTAATAAGGCATGCAAATTATCTGTATTTTTTAAACCATTAATTATGCGTTTATAAACAGGCGTTAAATATAATGTCACGCTATTTATACTACAATGAATCACTATTATAAGTTGGTAATACAATAATTTTAGGACAACAATAGGTACATAGACTTCAGTAGAATACATTGTAAAAACATATATATATATTATAATGTGTTGATAAAAATTTGATGCTTGATGCAAATAATTATGCGATAAAATACCCCGTTGTTAATAATGGGTAGGTAAAAACAATGTTTTAACATATGTATCTTTTTCAGCAATTTGAAAGGTATGGTTTAAAAAATTAAAATAATTGTGTACTGGCTGCACACGCGTCCAGGACGCAACATCGGCCCACAATTTTTTAATCAAGCTGCAATTTGAGTTGGACTAAACCTTTAACTCTATGGACTAACGCCAGTTTCAGTCAAGTCTTCTCAACCTGGCAGCTGGCTATGTCTAGTTGTGCTAAGAACAACTTGTTCGATTCATAATCTGAATCAAATATGATAATCCAACAATTGAACAAAAAAATTAAGCGATGTAAAATCGTCTTCTGTCAATTTACCGCAATAAAAAGAAGGGAATCAATCGCGCATAGTAAAAAAAATGCTTATATAATAAATAGAGTTTGTCTACTCACGTCTTGAATACGTTTCTTTTTCAATAATATAAATTCTTCGTTCGTACGTTTAAGCGAGTCGAGTAAAGTGTTTCGTTCTTGTACTAACACATCCTTTTGTTTCCTTATTTCCGACAGTTCCGCCTCCATTTCCGTGTTCATCCGAGCCAGGATATTCTCCGTCGATTTACTTTTATAAGCATGCTTCTTTTGTGGATTTAAGTTTAAAAGCACTAGAATTTCCAAAAACATTAATCTTAATGCATTACCACAAAATTTTGTAAAGAATTATAATATGGCTTTTATGCAGGAGGAAAATTTAAATGAATAATAAACATAGTTATGACGTTTCTTATGGAACAACTGTTATTCACTTGCTTTCCTACTTCAGGCTTTGTGATTTTTCGAAGACAACTACATATTAAAATGATAAACTCGGTAAATATAAACTCAATAAAAACACAGTCACTCATTTCTAGTTTGTGGATTCTATTCGCAATTGCAAAGAAAGTCAAAAGAACTTGGTTGTGTGTAGGTATCTGGAATGTTTGACATGTGCTGATATTATAAACATACCCAAACACAGATAAATGACCCAACATCAGATTTCTCTCAACTCTTCACGATATTCTACTAGATGGTCAAGAGATCGATGATTTCTCTTTTGATTTTATTATTTGCTAGCTGATCCAAGAAACTTAGACTGCCCAAAAAGTCTTTTAACATTTTTCATTGATGCTCTGCTCCTATTGGTCGTAGCGTGATGTTATAAAGCCTTCCTCCATAAACGGGCTATCCAACACCAAAAGAAGTTCACGATACGAACGTTGTATATATTTAGTGTATAAATTAGTACTGCACACAAGCTAATGAAAATAAAAATGCCCTTCTTTATAATAAATCAATATATAGTGTTTAAAGTGAATAACCGCTTGAAACATGTACAATAACAGTAGGAAAACGTCAAACACAAAATAGTTAATGAAAAATGTTTACTTGTTGCATTTTCACAATATCTTTTTAGGACAAAACATAAGAACTTACGACCAAATATAAAAAAAACATACCTTCTTTTCCTTCTGTAGGTTTCGAAGATTTTTTCTAAGTTCCTCGGTTTCCCTATTGATCTTCCCAATAGTTCTTTGTTTTATAGTCAGTTCAGACTGCATACCTTTTATGGTAGCGACTAAGTAACTATCCTCCTTTAATCTATTCAAAAGCAAAGCTGAATTCTGCGAAAGCCTACTGACTGCTGATGACGATCTGTCTGGTTTTAAAACAGTCTGTGTCGAAACTGTGTGGGTATGTGGATCCACAGTCTGGGCTGCAGAATCAGTAATATTAGTCCTATTTAACTTATTTTTTAAATTCGTATTGACTTTTCGATCCTCCATCAACTGCCTTTCTACGTCTATAATGTGGTTTTCGTATTTTTGTTTCATATCTCCAAATTTTTCTTGCAGTGTCAGTAATATACCCTGGAAATGGTTTTCTTTATCTTTTAGTTCTTGTTCAAGTCTAGCAATACGCTCTTCTAATAACTTTTTCTTATTGTCTTCTACGCTAGACGACTTTGAAGCCACTATAAAACAGACAAATAGGTCACGTAGTTTAAAAATATATAAAATAAATACATACTTAAAAGCAAAGATTTAATTATATAATATACCGACCTATTAATGCCGAAACAGAATCAGGATGTTTTCTTCTTAAAATCATTTCCATTTCTTTCACTTGTCTCTGTAGGTCTTGTATCACAACGACATCTTTTTCATGCTGTATAGTCAAATTTTTCCTGTCATTGCGTTCTTTATTTATTTCTGCTAATAACTTATTTTCGTTTCCTTTTATAGATTTTAATTCCGTATTTCTATGTTCATATTCTTTACTAAGTCGACTAATAAACTTTTCACATTCGGCTAATTTCAATTCAGCCACGTGTTTATCTTCACTGATTTGATCCAGTTTTTTTCTTAACATCTTATTATCATCGTTGAGTTGTACATTAGCTAGTTCTAGGCCTTTCGCTCGTTCTGTAGTATCTTTTAACTCTTCCAATATATTTGAATGTTTACAATTTACCGCAGCTGCCTTTTTAGGTGAGTTTGTTAAGTGCTTTGTAACTTTGGCGGCTTCTCGTTTCTTGGTATCGACGACGCCGGCGGAGAAAGGCCTCAACTTTGGTTTACGACGTATTTCAGTGTTTTCCTTAGCATTTTGTTTAGCATACTGGTTAACCTACAAACACATTTAAGATTACCACAAATACAGGTATTCGATTAAACAGCTTTCTCACATCCTTTATGATATGAACCTAGATTACCGGAAAGAGTATTTTTACAAATTATAGTAGTGTAACTTCTATACTACAAAGTTGCCAAACAAGACTGGTACTCATTACCAGTCTTGTTTGTAAATGTGGAATTCATACTCCATTTGTGGATACAGCTATACCACGGTACAATTATAATACAGTACTGTAACTCGGCCGCATGATAGAAATAAATGCCTACAGCTGCGCGGTACGTAAACATGCGTTAGGGCTGCCCGTCTCCAGCATTTTAATTATATTTGCCTACTTTCTGTTTCTATTTAGATTTGTGATTGTAAATATCCTTTTTTATATAAATAAATGAAATACTTTGTATATTGAATAGGAAGTGTTCAATAAAAATGCGTGTTGTTTTTTGATTGGTAGATTTAATTAAAAAAACATGTTTTTGTTTGAAAAACAAATCGGGCTTATAAATTTGCGACCGAAAAAAATCCTTCTATAAAATAAAATAAATGTGCTTTCACCTTACGCGTTACAAAACTCCAATCCTTAGAAACTCCAACACCTACCTACTCAACTAGAATGCAAGAAACAGCTGACGAGTAAGTAACTTTTTATCTCAGCTTATTAACGTCTCTATAAATTAGGTACCTACCTACAACTCGCAACTACTCAAAACAAAAATTCTTTGGTCACCAAAGAATTAATTATTAAAAAGCTGAACAGCTGACTACGAATGTTTTAAAATCACAACCTATCTCTAGCTGTTGTTGTTAATACCGAGAAAATAAAACCAGTTTTTAGTTTTATATGTTGTTATAGTAGCAGCAGAAACACCTTGTGAAAATTTCGAAAACTGTCTAATGACACACAGACGGTAAAAATTTTTTTTTAGTATTATTCATACACACAGATAATAAACCAATATTATTAATAATAAAATACCACGTCTTTACTTTGAATTATGCAAAGTAACAAATCACACATGCACCGAAGTTTTAATACAAGCGTAAGTAGGTAGGTACCTACCGTATCATGATTCATTCAGAACCGCATATAACTCCCTATTTCACTCGTCTCAATAACTTTCCGTTACTCTATTTGCTTTATTTATTCATCCAAACACCTTTTTTTTCGTGAGATAAAAGGAAATACTTATCCATTAAAAAGACACACATTATGTACCTACCTACTAGTAAGTAAAATTATTTTATAGTCTTACCTTTCAGAGTTTCCAGGTAATTTAAAAAAACTTATGTCTGGATGCGTTATTGACGAATTCATACAACCAAAAACAGCACAATATTTCCTACTCGTCATATTAACTGATTTTTAGAGAAATATCGCGCGGTTATGTTAAAAAACAACACAGTCCGTTCGACACGCGGGTACAGCCGTGACTGTCTGCGCCCCGAGCGCACCCCGAGATCGAGGCGCGTAGGTATAGCTCGCGTTTCGTAAGTTTGTATGAAGTTGGAGTACTGTATTATAATAGTACCGTGGCTATACCTACTCACCAGCAGTAATTGTAGTGCCTAAACTGAAAAAGAGTGCAGAAATTAAACCTTCAAGAAAAGAACCTACCATTTCCTCAAATGCCGTCAACGCGCTTGTGTCTCCTGAGTTGCAGGCGTGCAGGGGCGGCGGCATTAACTTTTCATCAGGTGACCAGTCTGCTCGTTCGCTCCCTCTTCCATAAAAAAAATAGTGTCTAAACACTTTTTCTGTATTGATGAATGATGTACTAGTCAGACGAGCAAAAAGCTGTTGTCCCATAGCTGTCTCTAAAATTACTTAATGTAGTGTAAGGCCCAAATGACCATAAACCCATAAAAATAAACTGTCCCCCAAGTGGTAGACCATGAAAAGACAATTAGATAAAATTATCATTAAAAACGTGTTTACAGTAACAAAGTTTGTCATCGTTAAATAACTGCAATTCGGTGGCAACGACCGGGCATGGCGCTCGACTGAGAGAAAAGTTGTCAGTCTAGTTTGGGATGACTAACAAACTGTAAGATGCGATTACAATTCCGCTAAATTGTCGTCACGGTATAATGACATTAGTCAACATAATTTTTGTTTTTCTTACCAGCTGTTCCTTTGTTAAACGTTTGTGGTTTATGTTAAGAGGTGATCGTAGATAAATATATTTTTAAAATTAAGCCTTTCCGTTTTTTTTTTCTAATCAACATTCAATAACATGAAGAGATTGTTTGTTTAAAATTTCTTCATCATCATCGTCAACAGCCTTTAGTTAGTAAAAAAATAAAAAAACTTGTAATGTAATAAAAATGAATCACTGAACCGTTGACGCTTATATAAAACTAAAAATGCATTTAAGATTATCTTTATCTGAAAATCTAGGTTTTATAATATATAAATTTCTACTATGGAACCATGCGGTAAAAACCTTATTTGGAAAGCTTTTTTTTAAATTGGTTACATCGTTAACCTAGGGCCGCAACACGAATCGTAGTTCTACAATCGTAGTCTAGTACAAGGTTCTTTAACTTTTTACCATAGCCTTTACCTGATGCGGTGTGGACAAATGTTAAACAAGCAACTAATTATATTCTACATAACTTTTAACTTTCCCATCTTATCCCCTTGGAAACGGGCGGTTGTAGATCGGCACAACATATCGGCTCTTGTATACAAAATCTATGATATGATTTGTATACAAAATTTATGACGTGCCGATCGCCAACCGCCCGTTATATATGGTAAAAATAGTAAGCAAGAGCTTATTTGCTTGCTATTTGACAAGACAGGGATTGTTGCTATTGTGTGTTGATTTATAACTTTAGAGTATACATAAAAGACGATTTCAAACAATTTAAAAAAAAATGAAATAAAAAGAGAATGAGTTTAAGTTTGTCATTAGCCTATGTATGACCACGAAGAGTGCAACGCAAACTGCAGGCAGTTCAGAGATACATAAAATTATTACGAGTAGATACTAAACGGTAGACCTTAATACTGATTTGTAATTAATTAATATAAATTTATAATTATGCAGTTTGATACCCTTAATTCCCGTCCCTACGTACAATAGAACGTTTATCATTTTTATTGCCTTAAAGAAAAACAATTTATTTTAAACAAATACTGTCTATAGCCGGTCAGTATCATAATGTTATAAATAGCATCATAATAGGTCTTTACCTATGAAATTGCCGTTTTGTATGCAATAAGTGACCTTGCACCTACCGACTATTACTTTTTCCAAAATTTAGACAACTTTTTAGTGGGTAAAAAATTCAATTCCCGAGAGGCAGTACAAAATGCCTTTGAAGAGTTTGTTGCCCGTCCCGTTTCCCGTCCAGCTGATTTTTACAAGATTGCTGATTTTATCAATAAACTGCCAATGCGTTGGCAAAGATGCGTCGATTGCATGGGTGATTACTTCGAATAACAGAAATAAAAAAGTTTGAAAATATAAGTACTTTCAGTTATTGCATACAAAACGGCAATTTCATAGGTAAAGACCTAATATATAAATATATCACACATCAACAGCCTTTAATAGTCCACTGCTGGACATAGGCCTCTACTTAAAAACAGTTTTATACTTAAAAATATAGAACCATTATAATGTGTACAGTACCTAAGTTATTAATTTAAAATATATAAGTTTATGCAGTGTTACTCTCATAGGGAACAAAAGTGTTTCCAGTTGTTAAAAATAATTAGCAGTGTTAAAACTTGCAGGTAATTAGTTACTAAAACGACGATTTTTTTTTGTTGGGCTCCTTCACTAAAAATCATGATAACTACAACATTTGTAACGAGGCAGTGTGAAAGCTAAAATTTTACCTATACTTAATAAGCCCAAAATAGAAATCTGTTACTAATTTATTACCTCAAGAAAGTCCTAGGCAAGAGTTCAACAACGGTTTTCATAATCAGCATAATTTTTTTCGGTTTCTGCTTTTTTAAACTCTTTTTATGTGGCCCTGTGAGGAACAAGGCATTTGCCTGACGTGTGCAAATTTTTAAGCACTTTAAACACAAAACTCCTTTAAGCAACAAAAGTAAAATAGTAAGTAAGAATCTGGCAATTTCGTAAAATTTGATCAATTTTTATTTAGGTACTATTTTATCGCTGTTACTTCCACTGTTGGTTTCAAACTTTTTGTAGCGTTTTCTTGCAGCAAGAAATTACCAATCTATTGTTAGGTCGATTAAATTTAGAACAGTTTTTATTTCATTTTATAATATTTTGCACAAGTATATGCATCGGCGGACTTAATGCCAAATGCATTCTCTACCAGTCGACCGATTGGGCAATGCTGAAAAAGAATGAGGTAGGTGCATTTATGGGAGGGTAATAAATGATAAAGGTTTTCTTAAATACCAACTATCTTAGAATTTGGTGTATACATCTGAATACCACACACATACATATATAAACGTACATACGAGTACACATACACACACATACACATATATATTGATGTATACATATATATTATTAAAAAATATATAATAATTTTAGGCGATAAACTAGGACCTCGTTGAATCTGCCATTTCACTCAGGAAAAGCTCTTTCACTTTCGTCCTAAAAGAGTACCGATTTGTGGCCATCCTGACTTCGAGAGGAAGCGCATTCCACAAGAGGACAGCCTGGACGAAGAACGAAGAGCGGTGGTGTGAGAAGTACAGAGTAGAAGGAGATTGTTGGCCGAACGAAGGTTTCTGTTGTGGAAGTAATACAGGAAGGGGAATTGAGGATTGTGTACAAAATTGTGAGTGCGCGCATTTTCCTGCGTTGATGAATAGGAAACCACCTTAGCTGGACACGAAAACTGGAAATACGGTCATACTTACGAAGATTAAAGATAAATCGAATGCAGTTATTGATAAGACGATCTAGTTTGTTGAGAAGATCTGCATTCAGGTCATAATAGCACACGTCACCGTAGTCGATTAAAGGGAAGATAAGAGATTGTACGAGCGCTGTCTTAATTTTCACGGGAAGAAAGGTTTTCAGGCGATATAGTTGTACTCTAGCTAATTAGCAACAATAAGTACAAATTTGACAATTAAAAAAAATAATATTTGCTAATGCTGCTTTCATAGACGATTCCAACAGATTAAAAAAAATACCGACCACACTAAACTACCATTTATCTTGTTCCACACATCTTTAAAATCATTGTCCTGCAACTCACAACCATAATGATTATATGAAAACAATCTCCGCCAAGTGCGAAGACACTATAAAATTAACGATACATCAAAATATTATTGTTCATGTCTACTGTGTAATCTAGATAAAATCTATGTTTTATTTATTACAAATATTATGATTTTACAATCTTCGTGAAGTAATTTTTCAGATCTAGGCCTCAACAACCTTAACACAGCAGCTAATTACATATGTATCATTAAGATAGCAATAACGACAGCTTGCTGTATCCGAGCTTAAAAGAGGCAATCGATGTTTGCCAGGGCATCAGTGTGATCGTTCGTGGCGGCGCGTCCGCACCGCCAGTCTGCAGCCATGGGTTCCTTAACTAAAATTGTTGTGTTTTTATACGTAACATCGGCTGTTTTATGTACCCCTTTCATTAATCAATTGCAACCAGGGCAAGGTATGAAACTATTTTTTTTTTCAAATATTTAAAATAATAATTTACGACTGTTTCCAAGGAGTGTTATCAAAATGAAAACGTATTGGTTACTGTGTCAGAAATTTGACAGAAGAACACATGAATTTTTGTTAGTTAGAAGAATTAACACAGGTAAAAAATCAGATTCAGTCATCTTATAATAGTGTATTAAAATTTATTTTCTACATTCTAATCAAACGATTAAGAATAAATAAAACCTATGTAACGAATCAGGTAACTGATAATCACTTCAATCACAAAGCACTTCCGAACAACATAAAATATTGTTGTGCATGCATTAGAAATTACTATCAACAACATTATTTATGCACTTTTTTATTTAGTTTGTATTTGGGCATTGTGCAGGGAAGGTAATAAAAAAACAAGAAACACCCGACTACATTATACACACTGTTTGAAGAAATTGTGTCTCAAATTTTACAAGTAAGACATTAATTCTTCTCTTATAAACTGTAAAACATCTATCTAAATATTTTAAATATTATTAGTTTTCTAAATACATACCTATATTATTCCTTCAACAATTCAAAAGCCGGAAATAAACAAATCTGAACAAAGTATTTATAACTTGTATCTTGATTTAAATTCACGGAGCAGTCTTGTGTTCGTGAGGAAAATGGAATATCGAAAAATGAGGAAATCCGAGTCCAGTTCAAGTTCGATTTGGACCGTTAGAACGACCGAGATCAGACCTGTCAATGTGTCGCGAATGGAAACCAAGTCTCGGCCGGAGAAAGTCTAAAAGCATGTCACGGGAGACGCGATTTGCGTTTTAATGTTCTGTTATAAATTATTCGTAGTATACCGTCAGTAACAGTAGTAGTAAATCAATGTAGAAATCGTTGTATAATATCTGTATAATAAAAGTTATTTTTTTCTCTTCTATCTAAGTAGCAACTTTACTCATATCGTTTAAGTATATTCCGGTCAATTTTTTAATAAAAGTTGTGTTCGATACTTCGATCTGATTAGCAACCTTAACAAATACGACGTTACATTATTACGTAGAGTGATGAGTGACTGACGAGTTTTATGAGAGGTTTTGACTTACTAAGAGTACTTGTGTGGCTACTGAATTTCTGTAGGATCAGAACAAATGTTTTTCTATTTCTTTTTGTCAGGATGAAGCTGTTTTCTCTGTAGTCAGTGGTATAGATAGAATTAAAAAAAATGTCCACACCTCAGGACCTTCTCCGCATGATAACCATACCATTTTGCCAGTCTTGTGCGTTCTCTCATCATCTATAACTTGACAGATCAAAACTTACACGGCAATATCTCTATATCCTATCTTGTGTGCGAATTTATTATCACTATTCATGTCATATTTATCAGTCTGTCAGATGTTACTTAAGTCCTATTTTAAGATATGTTAGGGTGTGTTGTTGTTTTTTCATGCCACTACGTTGGAAAACAGGGAAGCGGGCTATCTATTGATAAACGTTTACCGGTGCCTTAAAGGACTTGGTAAATATTTAAATTCCCTGCTCAAAACGGAAATAATATAATTACGCTGTCAGCGCTAGGTAATTAGCGTCCTAAGTTGGCTGGGTAAACTTCCCCAAAAAAAGAAAGGAAAAATGAAGGTAGACCTTTTATAAAACCCCGATGCTAAAAAGGAACGTTATAAGTTTAACGTGTGTATCTGTGTATGAATGTACATCATAGCTCCTAAACAAATTATTATTATTATTTTTGCTGTGATCGTCAAACGATGAGAACATCGTTTCTCTTTTCTAATCGGATTTTTAAGCCGGGAGTATTTTATTTTTTAATTTATGGTTATTCATTGAATTAGTTTAGAAATAATACCACTGCCCGCTTGATGTTAATCTTACTTTTTAACACCAGTGATGTTAATTCCTGAGACCTACTTTTATTCAAAGCTTTGTATAACAATTCATAACCTGCAACAAATTTATAACAGGAAAAGTCTTCTTTTTTCTTCGACGCATAGCGTGCTATCTTATGATATGCCACTTTTTATATACTTTATTTTTTCTATGTCTATGTACATCTGTGTTGCTAAGAGTATCCGAAACAAAAAGGAGATGTGATATATTATGGCAAAATGTTTTGGTATGGTATCATGAGGAGAAGGTCCCGAGTAGTGACATTTTCTTTTCTACTGTATACTGTATATCTAAATATCTTTAACGACGTACACGAGTCCTTTGAAACTTTGAAATTAATATCAATAATATTTTGGGAAATTTTACACAGCGCTATCGAAAATCAAACTAAGTCAAGCCTATATTGTAAGTACTACACGGCGGTGATCGATAAACTTAATAAAATATTTTTTTAATGACTTAAACATAGCAATATACCATAGCTTTATAGAAATAGATCATTCATGCTTAAACAAATAATTTGAACCGAGGGGAATCAAACACACGATGATAAATATAACAGTGGCACAAATAAATTAAAACTCTTTCCACTTAGTAAAAGCTACTACTTACAGTATAAATGACTTTTAAGGGACAAATTGACTAAGTATAATATTAGTACTACTCGTATTACCAACTAAAATTGTTTCGTAAAAATATTTGGTAATCTAATATTAATAAGCATAATAATAGTTGTTAACAGTAACATAATAGTTGTTGACAGAAGACAGAAGTTATTATTAATATTATTTACTTACACAAATAATTTATTTCAGAATGGCCTAAACGTAATTCGGTCAAACAACCAAATGCTGAGGAATCTCTAGATTTAACAAATGAAGTTGTAACAGAAACCGGGGATGCCGCTGAGTTTGATAAAGCGGCTTTAGAAGAACCTGAACCTACTTTAGGAAAATCGGGGAAGGTAGATTACACCGGGTGCCAAGTATGGAAAGTTTCCACAGCAAAAGCTGGTGCTAAGGCAGTTATTAATAAGCTGTCATCCGATAAACGTAAGTATTTATACGAACTTAACTAACAGGTACCGAAGATTTTCTAGAAGCTACTGTAAGCCATTTATCGTAGGAAAGTCATGCTTCGGCACATTAGGCCAAGCTCGACCGGAGTGATACCAAGGCCTCACAGAAAACGGGTGTTAAGCACGTGTTCGTTCATTGATTTATCGAGTGAGGTTACCGAGGCCCAAACCCTCCTCCTCCCCTGATTCTGGCAGGAGGGAATAAAAAGGGTGACAATGCACTTGTGACTGTTGAGTTGCAGGTGTCTATCAGTTACTTGGTATCAGAAGGCCAATTCTCGTAAAAAAAATTCAGTCCCAATTCAGTTCCGATCAACTATCAATCTCACAACTGTCATAAAGGTATTTTCTTAGTAAAATTTGGAAAGTATTACTAAGACTAGCAGATTACCTATTCAATTTTCTGTTACAATACGATATAATTACATTTCAGTTAACGTTAGATGTTTAATACTTTACTAAGAAAATACCTCTTATGACAGTTGTGAGATCGAATGTTGATCGGAACTAAATTGAGACCAAATTTTTATTACGAGGATTGGCCTTCAGGCGACCTGTCTGCTTGTTTCACCCCCTAAACCATAAAAAAAAGTATTTACGTAAATAAATAAATAACGATGGAATTACCACATACAATTTTGTCAAAAGAACTAGTTAAGTATAAAAACTTGAGATCTGTGAGAGACTGCGGAATTTTGATCGGTTTAGGTGTCCTATTTTTTTAAATTCATTAACCAGTACAACTTGTATTTTCATTGTATAGAGTTCCGTCTATTATGACAGATCAAAATATATATAATGGTCACCTATAGCTTTGTGTAGCCGTTTTAATATTTTTTTAATACATAACACATTCGTTACAAAATGTTAGCTTTGTGCATTTCTTTTAAGTAGGCACATGTAAACATTAAGTGCTTATTTCGTGGTATTCCGCTTCCGTTACATTTATTTCAAAAGGGTACAAAAATATTTTATCACGTATTAAATAAACTGATACTGATGAGATGCAGTTTCGTGTTCAATATGAAACCTGCTTTTCCCAGGAAAAGCAATCGCAATGACAGCATTGCAATTACAAACTCCTTTCAGTGCCCAGACACCCTTGACGTAAAGCTCAAAGTAACTGAATAATAATTTTATAATTATTTTAGTGATAGCGTCATGGGGAGGAAGCGAATCATCAATCGATGTACTGATCAAACCAAAAGTAATTGAAAACGTGACAACTGTTTTAAGAAGTAAAGACATACCATACTCCATTATGATTGAAGACCTACAGCAAAGAATCAACGAAGAAAATCCACCTTTAGACGAAAACGAAATTGAACTACAGGACAGACGAGGTTCGTAAGTCAAACTTATATATTTAAGCTGACTGGTACCAGACGATTGACGATGTTCCAAGGGTCATATAATTTTGTTACAGCAAGAGCTTACAATTTTTGGCGTTACAGGGCATCTCATCGCAGGATAGGTTTAGTCGACTCTTACATGGACTACAATTCTCTCGATATACATGGAGTATTGGCCAAATGCGAATTGGGGTTCGTTGTTGTCCTAGGGCACCGAATCTATGTTGTCTTGCACTATAAATATATTAATTTGGTTTTAAGCTACTTGTTAATTGTAAATTGTGTGTAACAGAATGGACCTAGATTGTGTTAACATTAAAGCATAAAAACGCTGATTTCTTCACTAATATATATAACAATAATATATATAACAAAAAAATATTAAATTAAGAGGTCTGTGTTAATGAACGATTCTGCAAAATAAATCATAATGTAATGATAAATGTATTTTTTTAATGACGCATACATGTTACAGGTCACCGCATGACATGGAAGCAGTACCACAGAGTAGAAGATATCCATGGTTTTATGAATTATTTAGCTGAAACTTATCCCTCTATTATCAGTGTCAACACAATTGGAAAATCACACGAAGGACGCGATCTTAAGGTAACTTTTATATTTCATAAAGGGGTTAATTAAAATTTGATCTGTAATACATACATATATTCTCACTTATATCCTAAAGGAATAGGCAGAGGTTTTCGTCCTATTTACGTAATTTTAAGAGGCAAACCTATTGCCTTCAAACAGGCATTTTAGGGATTGGTTGAAAAATTGTGTATGTGTGTATATCCAAAAGAAAGATATGCAAGCAATAGAAAAGGTAGGAAAGGAAAATCGCTTACTACATACTGATTAGGGGAATATAAGAGAGTAAGAGTAAAAGAGAGAATTAGTCCAGTAAAAAAATTATGTTACTTTTATACACGCTCACAGAAGTTCTATATTTTAGTCGTTGTATTATAACTCGAGAAACCCAAGAGCACAAAGAGCATTATTCTCGGCATACCGGTCTGTGGACCGGTATAATGTCTATGAATCTATATTAAATTTAACCAGTAAATTGAATTACAAGTCCTCTAATCTTTGATCAAGTTATAAGTTTTCAATAGTTTTAATAGCAGCTATTTTCGGTTCGTAGGTATTACGCATTTCGGACGGCAAGTCGACCAACAAAGCAGTATTTATTGACGGCGGTATCCACGCACGTGAGTGGATCAGTCCAGCAGTCGTAACTTACTTAATCAATCAATTCGCTGAAAACTTTGATGTTGAGACAGATGACATCAAAAATATCGATTGGTAAGATTATACAAACAATGAAATCGACTACTTTAAGATAAGATTAGAATTTACGTACAGTTTTTCTTCTTATGTGAAGATCGTGCAAACGTGTATATTAAAAGGTTTTGTTTTTATCAGTCATGACATAATTATATCAATTATAAAACTTTAAACTTTTTGAACTTTCAACTAAAGTTCTGATGACAGCACAGATACATAATTGTTATGCACTATCGGACCGATATATCTGAACTTTCAGTAAATTTGTTCGTGTTATGTGTAAAAAACACTTTCATTATTATTCATCAAATGTCTCTATTTTACGGGCATTTTTTTTACCTAATATTCGTATTGACATACCTACTTACTTATATTGTCATATCATCATATCAGAGAAAAAAAACAAAAATCGTCTTTGCCATTTCCAAGTAGCGCGTCTACCAACGAACAACATTTTATTTATATTTAATACAAATAGATTGTAAATTGTATTTCTAATTCTTCCATTCACAGGTATTTTTTGCCGGTTGTTAACCCCGACGGCTATGAATACACTCATAACACAGATCGAATGTGGAGGAAAAATCGCAAGCGATATGGCATAGGATTCTGCTATGGAACTGATCTGAATAGAAACTTTGGGTAATACCAAACAAATAACAGCCTCTAAAAGGCTTTGGCTTTAAGTTGTCGTTATTAAGAACAACACTAATAAACAAATGATTATAAGCTAAGTACTTAGTACGGAAGAGTAATAACATTAAAATTAATTTTACTATCCTTTAGATATCATTGGGGCGGCAAAGGAGCTTCGATTAACCCATGTAGTGAAATTTATCGAGGTGAAGCTGCCTTCTCTGAGCCTGAATCTAAAGCTATCTCTGTAAGTCTAATTATTTGGCAAGGCACAACTTTATACTTTCTAACTAAAAGCAATTTGAGGTAAATTAACAACGGTTATTCACAGCATTTCTTTAAGAGACAACGTCTGCACTAGGAATATATAGGATCAAATTATCGCTCTACCTTGGCCTTATCCATTTGCCGATTAACCCTAAGGCAAAGTAGGCACGTGTCTAGGGGCGCGAGGTTACAAAAGGAAGAATACATGCCTAACATAATAAGAACTGTGTCAGTAAGTACGCACATACTTACACAATATGAAAAATCCTTAATGCTAAAGAGATGCTTAAGGTTCACATCTACGTCTTCTAAAGGGGAGTTTATCCCCGAAGGTGGTGCCCTCGCTTTTAAAGGGCAGGTGCTAGCAGCGGTCTGCAGCTCTCATGTACCCAAGTAGGATCGGCCTCGGTAGGCGTGACATGTCGTGCGGTATTCCGAAGAGGTCGAAGATAGGACCGCTTCTGTGGAATATCGACTACGACTGGGTGCTCCGCAATGCCCTGTTGGATGATGTCGCCGTCACGTGCCACGCAGACGACACGCTTGTGGCGGCGTGAGGTAAGGCGACCGCTAATCCCGGTGGGGGGACAGCCCATGTAGCCACACGTAAAAAAATAAAAGTTCTGGTAAAGAAATGACAAGTAAACTTTGGAGTCATCACTATCACACCGATAGACGATAGTGAGGTGCAAGTGGCGGAACGTGGGGGGGGGATGGTCGCCGATGAGATGTTTGCCTAGAGCGCTCTTGATACTTATTCCGCCTATGGCCTTATCGCTCAACTTTCATTAATGGTGGTCGAGTTCCGTTAGTAGTTAAATTAATGTAAGGAACCAGTTAGTAATGTATTTATCTGGCTGGCGAATTTAGGAATCGATTTGATTCACAACCAAACGTAGCAGTACATATTGTTTTAGCTTAGGTCGCTGACCTAGACCAGGTTACATACACATACTAACACTACACTACATAACATATTTTTTCACGCCACGGGTCCTTGATTTTCATTAAAATAACTACAAAGATTAATCTGCGTATTCAGTACGAAAATTAGGAGTTAAATTTTTCAGAATTAAAACGTGTGGTGACGGATTAAGAATACAGAGTGTCAACACCCCTATTCATAACGTAGGTGTAGTAAGAGCCGACTAAGGAGCAAACTACGCAGAACAACAGCACTGCAAAGAGAAGGAAAACTTGAAACAAACCCTTTTTTTTTTTTTTTTTTTTTTTTTTTTTTTTTTTTTTTTTTTTTTTAACGTGTGGAAATCCCCTCGGACCGTCACCCCTCCGGGGTTTGCGGCGGGGTGGTGTGTCGGACTCGGACCGACTAAAACCACACGGTGTGCCACTCTGCGCCTGTAACAGGAGGGATCCGGGAACAGCTGTTGTTAAGACATCCGGACCCCTCCTAGCGCCAGCCCGCTCCTGGTGCGGGCTCCGCCACAATGTTTTTTGTTCCTCTCTTTAGGCGACGTCCGGCACACGCGGACGCCGCCCCCTCGCGGCTGGCCAAACTAATGCGGGTGGAGGGGAAACCCACCCCGTCCACCCGCGGCCACACTCAGGGGCGGCATGAGGCTGTGGTAGGCGGGCCTCCGCCGCCCGGTTCGCCGGCGGCGGATCGGGTCCGAGTGGAGGTCGTCCTCCCGGGCCCTCTCCGCCGCCTCCTTCCGCGAGATTACTACCCTCGCAGAAGGTTGCGACCGCGGTTAAAACAACTGTCGCTAACCGGCCATGGAGCGTACTACGGCCGGTAGCGAGAGATCCACTCCGATGACTTGCAGTGAGGGCCCGCGCTGCGCCGCCCATGCGGGGCAGACCGCCAGCGTGTGCTGGGCCCGAGTCCTCACTGCAGTCGCAGTCGGTGGCAGGCGGGACTCAGTTCCCTCCTAGCGACCGTGTGCAGGTACTTTCCGAAGCAACCGTGCCCGGAAAGCACCTGCGTCAGTCGGAAGGAAAGGGTCCCGTGCTGCCGCCCTGCCCACTCGGCGATGACCGGCTGGAGAGCCTCCACGGCGGCGAAACCAGCGCGTGGAGTCTCCAGCCGGAACGACCAACGAGCCATCGTGGCTCGGCGAGCGGCTTCGCGCCACTCGCGCACATCCTCGGGCGGAGGGCGAAATCCGCCTTCCGCCCGGAAGTCAGCCACTCGCCGATAAACTTCGGCGAGCACTTCCGCCTCCAAATCCCACGGGGGAGTTCCGGCCAATGCGCATGCCCCCCTCCGTCGAAACGGTGCGGTAACCGCGTATGGCTCTGACCGCCATTACCCTCTGAGTGCGCCAGAGGCGTACCCTATTCTGGGCGGTCAGAGCCGCCGCCCACACCGGTGCACCGTACAGCGCCATTGACCGACAACCCCCGTGTACAGCCGTCTTGTCGCGACGCTGGGTCCACCCATATTGGGCAAGAGTCGCCCTAGGGCAGACGCAGCGCCGACCAGCTTTGGAGCAAGCTGTCGGAAGTGCTCGTCGAAGAGCCACCTCCCGTCGAGGATCAGGCCCAGATATTTCATCTGGGCCCGAACCGGTACGAGGACCGAGTTGACCACGATGGAGGCGCCAGGGGGTGGACCACGACGGGGCCCATGAAATAACAGGGCCTCCGTCTTATCTAGGGCCACCCGTAAGCCCAGCGCCTCAATGCGCCCGACCACCAGGGAGACTCCCCCCTGTGGCCAGGCGCGCCGCCTCTTGGAAGTTGCCCCCCGGGCTGTCACGAGGGTATCGTCTGCGTAAACAGATTACACCCAGCCCGGGGGGAAATCGGCGCGAAGGGCCCAGTCGTACCCTATGTTCCACAAGAGGGGTCCAAGAACAGACCCCTGTGGAACACCGCACGACATGGGCCGACACCTCAAATTACCTTCTCGGTCCTCGTACACGACGGTACGCTCCTCTAAATAGTCTGCCACCAGCCGCCTCAGGTACTTTGGCACCCCATGATAGTGGAGTGCTTCCCTGATGCAGCTGAATGGCAGACTATTGAATGCGTTGGCGATGTCCAATGACACCGCCAACAGCACGCCGCCACAGCTCACGGCCTCTTCGGTCACGGCCCTCAGGCGCAACACGGCGTCGACCGTCGAACGCCCCGCCCGAAAACCAAATTGGGCGTCCGACAGATCGGGGCCCACCTCGCAAAGGTGCCGGACGATGCGGGCAGAAAGAACCCTCTCAAACAATTTGCCCGCCTCGTCCAGCAGCACGATGGGCCTATAGGCCGCGACCGTATCGGCAGGCCGTCCCGGCTTCCGCAATAGGACCAGCTTCCCGCTCTTCCAGCACTCAGGGAAGCGTCCCGACGCCAAGCTAGCGTCGAACACCTCCCCGAGGCGGTCTGCCATGTGGTTGAGGGCCAGGGCCAGCACTCGGGCCGGTATCCTGTCTGGCCCAGGGGCGGTGTTCTTGGAACGGATCCGTAGAACAGCCGCCCCTACCTCCGATTCCCGGACGGGCGGAACATTATCCTCCCCGTGCTCCCCGTCGTCTCCGGCCAAGGAGGCCATCGACGGGGGAGTGTGTTCCGCCCGTTGTGGGAAAAGGCCCTCAACCACTTCTCGCAGGAAGCTGGGCTGGAGAGTCTCCGTAAGGGGGGGGCCCGACGCGCGGAGCTTTTGTCGCGCGGTAAGGGCGACCCCAGGGGTCACGATTAAGACCCTCCAGCATCTCCTGTCTCTTTTCCTCTTTGGCGCGGCTAATGGCCAGCTTCAGAGTTTTCCGAGCCCGTCGGTACTCCTCATGAAGCCGGTCCTCCTCACCGTCTCCACGGTGACGCCGCCGACTGCGTGTGTAGGACCTCCGGGCACGTGTACAGGCCGCACGGAGGTCCGCCAGCTCCTGGGACCACCAGTAGACCTCCTTCCTTGGAGGCCGACGACCTCGAACGCGGGGCATGGCCGCATCGCATACATGCGTAATCGCGAAAGCGGCCAGCCCCCACGTCGACCTCCTCGGAAACCCTATACCAACCCGGCGTTGTATAGTAGGCCAAAACTTCCTATCTAAGGAGAGGCCTATGTCCAGCAGTGGACTGCTAAAGGCTGTTGATGATGAATTAAAAACTTATTTATGGTTATTAAAATGTTTAAAAGTTATATAGGTGAATAGGCGTTGAAAACATCGACATTATTTTCAACATCGATATTCTTTTTAATCAATTTATGATTATGAAAATAAAATATGGATACTTCAATCTTTTCAAAACGTTAAAAAATAATTAAATAAATCTTTTGTTTTTAGGATTTCTTTGCAACAACAGCTACGAAATTTACAGCGTATCTGACATACCATAGCTATGGCCAGTATTTATTGTACCCATGGGGCTATGACAACACTCTACCACCAGACTACAAAGAATTGCAATCCGTTGGAGAAGAAATTGCTGAGGCAAGTACATACTAACACATACCAATCCTAGATTGCAATAAATAATTATATTTTAACTATTATACATCACTATTTCATTCACACTTTTATATTTAGTGTTAACAGGTATGTAGTTTATTTTTCCTATAGTGCAGACCCCATAGACCAATTCAAGTCTCTATTCTCTTTTGTATAAGTATCCTTTCATAGGCATTTCTTGCTTTTTCTCAAATACACAATTTCCTTAAAAAAAACAACCAATGTCAAGGTATCTATGCTACGTCAGTGGAAATTATTTTTTGGATGTTATGGTTTTTTTTTTATGAAGCTTATTTGATGTTCTATGTCCCAATATATTAAACTTTCTTCTTGGAAGTATGATGGTCCCCTAAGTTATCAGAATTGTAATGCCTTCAACACCAGAGCTATACTTGATGTATAGGCAGCACACGAAGGAAGTTATTAAGAATGCTATGTTCAGTGGACTGGAGTACTTAACATTTTTTTTAATGTCATTCATTCATTTTGAAATCTTTCAATACAACTTTAAAAATAATTAAATTTATGCCTATAATTTGTATATTATTTACAGTCTATAAGAAAGGCAGGTGGTTCAGAATACACAGTGGGTTCATCCAGTGGACTACTCTACTCTGCAGCTGGAGGTTCCGATGACTGGGCTAAGTCTTTGGGAATCAAATACACATACACTATCGAACTCAGTGACACTGGACGTCATGGCTTTGTATTACCAGCATCATACATTAAACCTGTTGCTAAGGAGAACTTAGCTGGACTGAGAGTTTTAGCTCAAAAAGTAAATGAAGCATAATCTTAATGCCTTAGAATGTGGCTATAACTTATTTATTTATTTAAAAAGATACAACTGTAAAGAATGTTTGATAAAGAAGTGGAAGTCTGACACTGACAATAACTAATGAGTGAATGATGAATATATTAACTTAATATTCTTAGTTAAGTTTTTTTTTTTATATTGTAAGATTAAATACTTATGGAAAAATGTTTTTTATTGTTTTTACTTAAACCCCAATATAAAGCACCCACAAACATTTTAGCAACAGGAACATTTTTCTACTTACAATATTATTGCTGATCTTGATATGTTTAATGTTAAAATTATTGATTTTAATTCAAATGAAATCACGCCCCTTTCAAGAACTTGTTAAAAGAAAAGAAAACAATATCAGAAATACCTTATTATATGAAGATTCTTTACATTCGCCTACTTCCTTTTCCTCCTCACGTGGTTTTGTAACTTTAATTTGAGGAATAGCACCATTTTTAATTTTAATTTCACTACTGGCATTAAACAATGCTGATATAGGACTCTTTTTTAATAAATTTTCAGTCTCCAATGAAATATCTTCCGCCCTTTTTAAAATTAATTCCACATCATCGACGTCGTCATTCAAAACTTTTTCAGTCTTATTACTTGCGACCAATTTATTAATTTCACTAAATATCATTTTAATTTCTTCATCACTGTCTTTGTAGCCTTCGCAAGTCTTTTCAAACTGCAGGAATTCTTTTGTTGACATACTGTTATCATTAGACCCCAAATCTTGGCCTACGGCAATTTCACTCTGCGCCATGGTAAAAATATTTTAAAGTTATATGTTTAACATATTAAACTATTATATTAGAATCCAATAGAAATTGGTTTCAGATATCGATAATTTCTGGGATTTCAAACACAACTTCACGTTGCCTAGCAACGTAAAACGTTTGACAGTTATTTGATTGAAACTTTAAATGAAGATCTGAAACAAGTAGATGTGTTCATAGCTGTCGAGTTACCTACCCTGTATGGCTCTTGAGTTTACGGATATTTAGTATTTCTGTGATTCTTAGAACGTTTATGAGTTCATATTTATGTAAATATACATGTTTGTTTAAATAGTCTAATTCCTAAATGATGTGAGGTAATTGTCTTTATTTGATTTCTACGTAGTAAAGTATTAATATCCAACGTTAATTCTAATGTGATTATATCGTATTGTAACCGAAAATTGAATTGGTAATATGCTAGTCTTAGTAATAATACTTTACAATTTTACTACGAAAATTTATTTTGACAGTTGTGAGAACGAAATTTGATCGGAACAGAATTATGACCGAACTTTTTTTATAAGAATTTACCTTCTGAACCATTGAGTTAAAACAATGTATTATAATGTAATGTATATATGTATAAAGTAATGTAACATATCAATGTTCTGAACTAATACTTAGACAAGTTGGTTTCGGTTTTACTTTGTTTGAATTGACTTGAAAATATTATAGGAAAATATATTAAATATGTAGCTTCTACTTCTTTTTATCATTACAAGGTAATTTGGTAAGTAGATATTACTATGGTATTAAGTCTAACTTGGTCCAAAAATCCAATTGGCTTTTACACTTACCTGTACAATTTTAAAAAATTTTGATTTTTGATATTTCATGTGCAATGTAATGTAATTTTATTTCATAATTTTACCTGTACAATTTAAAAATTTGCATGCTATCTAAATATAGCGAAATGTGTCTTGTGCTTTAAACATTGTAAACCACCTACTGTGACTACCACATTTTCTGCAAATAAATATATTATTATTATATTATTATTATTAAAAAAAAACAAAGTTATTGTTTGCCAAACGATGGAGTCTAAATAATAGGTCTTTACCTATGAAATTGCCGTTTTGTATGCAATAAGTGAAAGTACTTATTTTTTCAAACCTTTTTATTTCTGTTATTCGAAGGAATCACCCATGCAATCGACGCATCTTTGCCAACGCATTGGCAGTTTATTGATGCCCTTCTTGCACCTACCGTCTATTACTTTTTCCAAAACTTAGACAACTTTTTAGTGGGTAAAAAATTCAATTCCCGAGAGGCAGTACAAAATGTCTTTGAAGAGTTTGTTGCCTCCCGTCCAGCTGATTTTTACAAGAAGGGCATCAATAAACTGCCAATGCATTGGCAAAGATGCGTCGATTGCATGGGTGATTACTTCGAATAACAGAAATAAAAAAGTTTGAAAGGATAAGTACTTTCACTTATTGCATACTAGAGTTGTGTAGCTCCTGAGTGAGTGATATAAAAGATATATATCATTCACGACGGTAAAATGTATCACTCACTCACACTTGCTCCGAATATATCAGTAACTCAGTACTAGCTCACTAGATCACTAGCTCAACGACGCCGATCTTTGTATCATGAGCGAGTGAGACTAAAGATAAATCAGTGAGATAGATGATGGTTGAGTTCACGCAAGTTTCTATACGCAAAATGTACATTATTTCTATAGGATCAAAGTTTAATACTACTTAATAATATTATAAAGCTGAAGAGTTTGTTTGTTTGTTTGTTTGTTTGAACGCGCTAATCTCAGGAACTACTGGTCCGATTTGAAAATTTCTTTCAGTGTTAGATAGCCCATTTATCGAGGAAGGCTATAGGCTATATATCATCACGCTAAGACCAATAGGAGCGGAGCACCAATGAAGAATGTTTCAAAAACGGAGAAAATTTATTACTATTGAGAGACGCAGACGAAGTTGCGCGGGTCAGCTAGTACTACTTAAGAATTAAGCCAAGTACAAGGATAATCAAATTATGTAGGATTTCTATTATACAACCTAAAAAAAAGTACAAGAAATAATTTCTTATTATTAATTATTATATAAAAGGGTGTTAATAATTAACTATGTAATCTTATCAAAATGAATAAAATTGTATTTAAAAAAAAAATAGGTTAAAAATGTAGTTTCAAAAACTGAATTTAGGTTAATATGAAAATAAAGAAAGGTTTGTATGGCGAGAGAGGCTTGAAGTGAGTGATATACGAGTATACTGAGCTAAACGATCTAGATGAAGAAATGAATTAATTGAGAAACCAATCAATTGAATCGGATCAATGAGCTAGTGAGCTAAAAGAGTTAGTGAGCTAAATGAGCTAGTGAGCTAGATGAGTGATATATATCTTTTGATCGAAATGATATATATCAATCTTTTCAGCTCAGTGATACATTTTGCGCATCACTATTGCATACAAAATGGCAATTTCATAGGTAAAGACCTAATATTAAAAATTACCTACATGATGAAAGTTATTGTAAACCATGAAGACCTAATGATGACAGAATGTCTGACTGACAATCACTACAGAGTATATTCAACAATCACGAAATGTCAAGTATAATAGTGGTATGCATATTATAATACTGACTGTACTGAGTAACTGTTTGGTAGGGAGATTGATAAGAAAATCGGCTAGAGGCAGTATCTAGAAAAGCTGACAAAAGTTTTCTCTTCGAAAACATATAAAAAAATATTTATGAAATTTACTTGGCCGTTGAGAAGTAAATTACGTAGAAGACGACAAACACAATTTTTTTGATGACAAACCTATATAAAAACTGAAATAAAAGTACTCTGTGCGAAAAAAAAACATCGACGACAAAATTTTCAAGTGTGAAGGCTGATTATAGTGTGTGTTTGTGTTTTGATTAACTGTCTCTCAAGTACTAACAATGGACGAAGACAACCCTCCTGATCCTCCTGATAAAACGACTCTACGTACTCACCCTTTTTCCCCGACTTCTTATTCTCTTGTTCAACCCGGTACCCCTCCGAACCCTCTTTCAAAGTTTGCTAACATCATCTCTAATATTTCACAACCCGAAAATGTTCTTCCCCGCGCTTCTGGTTCAAGTAAACGTTTGGTTGATGATGGAATAACCCTAAATCATCCGCCTAAACAGTTGAAAATCTAAGTCAGCCTTGCGAAGCATAACGTAAATGACAATGGTCCTTTCATTGTTCGCATATAGCGAATTGAATCCCGACCAAACGTAAAAAGTAGGTACAAATCTTGTTTCCGTGGAATTTGCAACGCCTCACGATGCAAATTCATTTTTACTTAATGCCCTTCTTGTCAATCATAAATTTGAAGCGTCTATCCCATCATTTAATATAACAAGAATGGGTGTTGTATCGGGCATTCTAACAGACATGACAGAAGAGTATTATTGAGTGGAAAGCCACAGAAACCTGCGTTTTTACATTTGATGGTCATATTATACCAAAGAAAGTTTTTTGCTGCTACACCTCCCTTTCTGTGCAACTATATATTTACCCCTCCATACAATGCAGAAAGTGTTGCAGGTTTGGGCATGTAGTCTTATCTGCAGATCCAAACCTCGATGCAGTAAATGTGGATATGATCACCCTAGTAACAGTTGTGAAGTATAAGAGAGCGAGGCCTTTTGTGTATTATGCTCTGGAGCTCACTTTGCTAGTAGCAGGGCTTGTCCAGAGTACGGCAGGCAGAGGGCTATAAAGACAGCCATGGCAGAAAAAAACATTTCCTACATAGAAGCCAGTGAAAGTATTCCTGTATGTACTCGTAGCTTTAACACTTACAACTCCACAGATTCAGCAAACTCTTTCACAGTCCTATCGTAAAACCACTTTCCGTCAACCCAAATTACGTACCCCTCTATGGTTGTGCCCTTAACAGTCCCTAACAAGAGTCTTCTTTAATTGGCAGTTTAATTCAGTTTCTGACTTCACTAATCACCTCAAATATTCCTCTATCTACCTCGCTATCTTCTACTCAAATACCGTCCAACGTTGCAAATCACCTGTTGAAAATTCTTACCTCTTATAAATATGGCTTCCAACCAAGTGCTCCTTCAGTGGAATGTGAGGCGCGTGTTTCATAAAAAGCATGACCTCATATTTCTACTAAATAAAGACCAACCCTTACTTTGTTCTATTGTAGAGACCTGGCCCCTGCCTAGTCTCAACTTTTATATTCCCTATTACAACATCCTTAGGTGTGACAGGCCTGATGGATATGGAGGTGCTGTCTTCCTAATTGATAATCGTGTTCCCATTTCAACTCTCCCCACTCTATCTTTCCAAGACGATACGAATATCTTCAGTACGTTAGTAAGTGGTTTGACAGTTATGTCTATATATATTGCTTACCCTAATCAAAACTTCCTCCAAATGAAAAAAAAAAAAACAAGAAAATGTTCATGGTCCATGGACTTTAACTGCCACCAATATAGATGGGTCTCTGAGTGGTTCGACTCTTTCGGCACAGGCCTACTGGATATTTTGAACGAGTTAAACCTTTACATACTGAATTATGGATCCTGCACACGAAGAATTCTGCCCAGGCAGCATAAAAGCTGTGTAGATTTGATCGGCATCGGCTAGCTGGCAGTGCACAGGCTTGTCACATGGCAGCGATCATTACCCAATTATAATTTCCTTACCCAGTAGACATAATTTACCTTAAACTTACCTACAACCTTTTAAAACCAGACTGGCGAACATAATATACCACTTTGCTAGAAGAAAAAGTAAGCACCCTTCCTGATTTGGACTTCAAAAACTTAACTTATGACGATCACTGCCATGTAAATGAGTGTTATGAAAAATTGGTGCAAGCTCTGAAATTTACCGTTGATTCTTGCTTCAAAATTAAAAATACCGGCAGAGGTAAAATTCCGGCTCCCCCCTGGTGGGACAGTGAATGCACCATAGCTGTTAAGAAAAGAAAAGTGGCAGAAAAAAAATACAACCTGGATAT